AAGTGATTTTTTTTACATAGTCAAACTCTCTATGGATATTTCCGACGAAGGCGCGACGATTGCTATTGTTGAAACGATGATCCTACAGATTAAAGCGAGGATCACATTGCCATTCCTATCCGATCAAGTTTGACACCTTTTTTAAAAAAGTAGTGCGATGACAGCAAAGAAATCTGCTGAAAAGTGCGCTGCACGTTCAGGTTTTTGTTTTGCTTAATGAACCGATGATTTGTTTTTTTTTTTTTGTTATCATTTGCTCGTTTCCGTCGTCGTAGAAAACGAAGACGACGACAACTTTCCGCTCTAACTTTTGATTGGCGCATAGAACAATGCTGAAATTTGGCCGTGAGGATATAAGACAAGGGAATGGAGAAAATAAAGCTAAAAAAAGTTGCGAGCTCGCCACGTTTCTCACTGTTTTTTCGGCGATTTTTGGATTTCGGCCAATAAGAATGCTTGATTTAATTCAAATTAATGATTAAAAGTTAGCACTTTTTAATTGCGTTTTGCCGTTCGCCCGCCTACCTCTTACACGGACCATTAGAAAACTTATTGGGGTGGGGGGGGAGGCGGGCGAAGTACAAAAAAATATCCGCGCAAGGAAAAATTAAATGCAAAAAATTTTTGCACGCCAATTAATCCTAAAAAATATTCACACAAGGAATTTGATAACGAAAAATAATTTCTGCAGCTCGAAAATTCCCCTTCCCCCCCCCCCATAACTTTTCTAATGGTCCGTCCAAAACAACAGCTCTGCCCGTGCATCATGCCGTTCTAGTACATTTCTTTGGCGTCCACCGCTCGACTACGACGTGAAACCTCCTAATTTGAAGTTTTATGGAGGACGTGGACATACGACTAACGAATTTTCCTTCCTCTTTTTGAACCTGAATAAAATCCTTAAGAATTCAACTCCAGGACGCCTGCATATTGAGCGGGTCCAAATAGACGCAATTAAGTTTGAAAGAACTCAAAGTTCCTTTTTTTTAGCGACGTTTTCACTGCCGCCGTCGTCGTCATCGTTGCTTAAGGTCCCTAATAATGCGTCAATAGGGAGCTTAAGCAGCGACGTTTTTGAGCGACGCACGTCAACCGGAAGTGAGGTATTTTCCCTCTTGACATGCCTTGATGATATAAAATTTGTATTCCTTAGCTTCTTTACTGTTATAGAGGCGATTTGACTGAAAATTTGCGCGAAACCACCGTCAAAAAATGAAAAAAGGCCACTTCCGGTTGACGTGCGTCGCTCAAAAACGTTGCTGCTTAAGCTCCCTAATTTCGTTGAAAAAGCGACGATTCGGTGAAAATCAAACGACCTTCCGCAAGTACCCATAGAAAAGCTTCATAGGGCACAAGTCAGATTTTCATTCGCATGCAAGTGATGTTAATTCTATCACAGCTCTCCTCGGCTGCTACTGTTAGGGTTGGTACGTGTGCTTGAGTTTTCACAGCGGTCAAACGAGTCAAATTTGCAAAAGTCAAGCGAAATACTTGAAAGTTAAGGTTGCTACTTTCACTATCGAAAGTTTAGGGTATTACCAACATCCTGTTAGTTTACTAAACTTTTTAAAAGTTTACTAAAAAAGTTCTAAGTGATTGAAAACCGATGCTGACGTTATTATGGGCGCCATTTTCAAACATGATTCTCTTTTAGCGCGAAGCGTTTTCAGCGAAAAAAGCTCAAAATTTTGAGAAAAATAGAAAGATAGTTATGTTGACTAACTGATTTATACATCTTTGCCCATTTTTCTCTAACTGGTAAATGAAATCCCAGCAATAAAAAACAAAAATAACGATTTAGACGTTTGACCGCGGTGGTGCTTGAGTTATGTTGAGTGCTGATAATTGACCTTAATTAACATTGCAATGTAGTTCCCGACCTTAAGCTTCAATGTCCACGCTGTACGGTTTTTCTCGTGGAACAGACTTAAATGGAAATGTAGATCATATAGGTAATCAGCAGAAAATGATTGAGCCCGAATTTAAGTGTAAACCTAGTCACTGAGAAAACTAAGTAGATTATTAGATTAATTAATTTATTTAACGTGTGTGTGTGTCTGTGTGAGTGTGAGTCCGCGGGTCAACGGTTAGCCATCATAAGCCCATATTGTAATTTTCCTCGCGAAATGACGTCAGCTGAGGATATTCGCGCAGAGATTCCATACTTATGACGTGTCACCACCCAGATTGGTTGAAGCAAATTTCCCTCAAGGCATAGCCTGTTCCAGGCTCCGAGATAGTGGTGAAAAGTCGTGTAGTCAAAAGAAATGCGAAAAACGCGCCGGGGCTAGCCGCCACCGTCCCCATTTACACGCGCTAAAGAAATCGCACGGCACGCCAAATTTTTGGCACTGTGCTGACGATTTTAAGGCACGGCACTCCCAATTTTCGACGTGTAAACGTATCGGTCCCAAATGTAGTGTGGCACCAGTGCTCAAAATTTTAGGGGTTCCGAGACTACCTTCCGGGGTAGTCTCGGCAAGGGTAAACGAGGCACGGTGCCAAAAATTTGGCGTGCCGTGCCGATTTTTTTTAGCGCGTGTAAATGGGGTTCAGCTGTCAGATGTCATTTCGAGTGGAAACCAGTGGTGTCGTCGCGAAGTTTCGGCGCTGTTTTCTCAGGTTATTAAAATGAGAGAAATGAGAATGAGATAACTGTCAACAAACAGGGAACGTCACTTATTTTTTTCCAAAGTGAATAATTGACGGTGAGTAATCACTTTGCTGTTTCGAAAGCTTGTCAGAAAACAGGAGCCCATGTAAGTTTGGCATGGTCTTCACTCCTATCAGTGGCCATGGAAGACTGACTAAACTCCTTGCCGGGCCAGTTATTTGAACGGAGTTAAGCCAGTGTTTAACAAAACCACGGTCTAAGACAGTTTCACTTTGGCGAACGCTTGAACACCATTTATCGTGAACAGTTTCATTAAAGCATAGAAAGTAGAGAAAAACATCAGTTACCTTCTCGACATACTAGGGAACTTAAGCACCGGCCGTTTTAGAGGCAACGGCAACTTTAGCGACCGAAAGAGCCTGGGAAGAAAACAACGTCGTTCCCGCCAAATTAGCGTAAAACCGCGGTCTAAATTAGATGTCGTTTAAATAACCGACCCCATATCTCTGAATGATGTTCAGAATATGAAAAATTAAAAGACCCTTGATTAAAAATTACAAGATAAACGTTAAGGGTGCTTTTAAGATACAGGTATAGATCTGTTCATGGTTAAGTTATTTCTCAGCTTTGACAATACCGCCACAAAACCAATTATGGCAACTGCTTCAGTGATTTTCAGTCTCCGCAGTGAGTCAAGACATCATATACAGATTAAAATAGCTTAAAGATCAAAGTAGTGAAAAACGAATTTTTTTATTTACCATATCTATATGTATTCATAAACTATTTTTCAAGTTTTTGTTACAAGCTAAAGTATATCTCTGCTTGAATAATTCATCAGCACTTGGCCTAAAGGTTTGGCCATGAACAAAACAAAAGAAATCCAAGCCAAGTATAAATTTTAATGCGATGAAATCTTTCGTTAAGTAACTCTTTCCTATACCATGTGGCAAGATTATTCGTTATTCTAACTAATCAAAGTCCTTTGGTGTTATATACCCCCTGGGCTAAGGCTGATAATTTAACATTAACTTCGCAGGATTTCACAAAAACAAATTTGAATTTTATTTTCTTTTGCAGGCATAACTATTGAAAGAGCTGACACACATTAAGCGAAAATTTTGATCTACTTATACGGCCGCCTGAAAGCCCGTTTAACTCTCCGCTCAAAAAAACCATTCCCTCGCAAATTAATAAGCGACCAGCTGTATCGACGTTGCATTATTATTGTGGGTTAATATTTGCCAAATGAGTGGCATAAGCTGCCATAGAAACTTACCAGCGTTTAAAAACCCTTATTTTCTTTTAATTCTTTGGACTAATGTATCAGTCGAATTTAGCCAATCAGTTATTTTTGCTTGAGAGAAACGGCTTGTATAACTCTTTGCAAAAGTACTCAGTTTTTGACTCATATTTAGCGGCGAGGAGAGACGTAAAAACAGGGGTGTGTGTTTGGATGTTAAATTCGTGAACTTTATAGTAGAAAACTAGCTACAAGCCATAACAATAATAAATGATAATAAGTCATTCACCTGGATAATTCACAGCCTTAACGTTGGCCAATAAGAGTTTGAGAGGGGATCAGCATTTTAAGGCTTTAAATGCGTGCGATAATACCCGGTAGATAAACTACTTTAGAAACAAAAAACAGTCGACTTTACAGAATGTCTTCAAATGTTTGATTTCGTTCGGCTTATCCCAATTCCAATTTTCAAACACCAATTTTTTAATTCTCATTTTAAAAACGTCAAATAAGCCATGTATTATTTTAATTCCGTTCTCATTTATCGAACGTTGACAACGCCAAAAAATGAAAATTGAATAAATAAATCATGTACTTAGCAAGCCGCAATTTTTTTTAAAAAAATTTGACGCTTTCATAGGGAGTATTAGCTACGTTATAGCTCTGAAGATAGCTGTTAAAATACTCTGTGTGTCTGAGTTAACGTTTGGTTTGGTGTTGAGAACTTGAAAGCCAGGATAGGAAAGCGAGACAAAATTTAAAATTATCTCGAGGGATGAATTATACCACCAGAGATGGTTGACGGGATTTTAGTACTTAGGACTTGCAGTTGTGACGTCGTGGTCGTTTGCTAATCGATACGAATCGAATGCTCGTCAAATCATCTGTCTGCCTCCGAATTAATGGTAACAAAAACAGCTGAAGTTCTTACAATAGACCTCGGCAAACCGCAGTCGAATGGAAATGGATTTTCCCTACGCTTAACGACTGGACGAAGTGAAAAGCAATCAACACTTCGAATTCGCCATCCGCCTGGGCTCTGTTCACCGAAGCTTTTGATCGAGAAACGGAAAATCGGCTATCAATTTGAAGCGTGGTGGTTTTTCAGGGAGATTATTTCCTTGTATCCGTTTATTATCAATAATGGCCAACAGCGGCAGTTGGAAGCGAATGAAGAGGGTGTTTTTTCCGTGGGGAAAGAAAAATCGCAACCAACCACCGCCACCACCACCGCCATCATTCGACGAACTCACCTCCTCGCCAGGTATCCAATGTTTTAGTTTTAATTTTAACAAAACGAGGTGTTCAATCTTGCTTTTAGGCTTTTCAGTTTGCTTTTAACATTACATAATTTAACCAGAGGACCGAATTTATTAGTATGAAAAACTAGTGGTCAACCTTTCAAGCGTGATCTATAAATCCAAGCGTTTACTTTGCACAATGTGTCAAAAAAAACCATCATTTTCAAAATCGCCGGGAGCAAGTACTAGTATAAAAATTGATGTTCAAGACATTATGTATTTGACTGACGATTAGATAAAAAAAAAATTCATGGGTTTCAAGTAGCAAAATAGGCACTTTTTTAACAAAAATAAATATTCATTGGTGGGAATTAAGAGTCGGGAAACTTTACCGATTTCGCGTTGAAATCATTACTTGTCTTCAATTGAAGTTCTGGAGTAAAGTATTCGCTCATAAAACGACAGAGCGACCATTGATCATGATATCAATATCTGCGCACATTATAACAGTGCACAAAAGGAAAACAAGAATAAAATCTGTTTTCCTTTCTGGTGGTTAAAATTTTTCCTGGTATTATTCGTTAACTTGTAGGGTACTAGTTTTATCCTCTTCGATTCCTGCCAATTCACCTGTTGTATAATATTATTGTGCGAATGCATGCAAAATAGACACTGTTGACCATGCAAAGATTGGCGGTTCCGTAATTTGCGAGGCGATTTTTTAATTTTACTATTCAGATATTTCTTTTGTTGTTACAAGCAGACAGGCTTATTTTGTCTTCGCCATAAGCTTGTGCTTTTTCTGTAAATATTATTGAAAAAAATTATGTATATGGCAATTTGTCGTTGTAACAATTAAAAGTGAAAAGTAGCCAAAATGAAAAAAGCTAACAAAAAAAAAAAAACTTTATTTCTAGCGGGCTTTGCTCTTTTCGTTCATATCTGAAACGCTGTATGGCGCTCCGGACTGACTCAGTCGCCTGAGTTAATATTTAGTACTCCATAAAAAAGCAAAATTGTATTAAAGGATCCACGCGAATAAAGATCTCGTCTAAGAAAGCCACGGCGCCGTGCCGGTGTTAACCCGTTAGTCGCGGAAAATTTAAGAACTTAATCTGCTTTTAGGTATAGTGCATGGACTCTGTTTTGAGGAAATAAAAGAAAACAACATAACAATAAAAAAAAAGTTATTTCTGGTATCAAAATACGGTAACATTCGCCTGGAAAAAAGGTAATCGCCGAAGACTTTTTGCCAAGACTTCTTTTTCAGTTGGATTTAACACAACCAGGATGATAAATGTTTTTATCAGCCAAGCTGTCAGGTGTCGATGAATATGTCAAGCTTTTAACAGGCAGAAAGAGCCCTTGCTCACAATTAATTTTAAAGAATAGAATTGTTTTTCTTTTCCCTTACAGAATTCATTTACGAGTAATTCTTGCGTGACCGTTTCGTTTTTGGTATTGATTTTGCAGTAGTTTTAATACTAAGGGTGCCGTTTCTTTACTAAAAGATTGGATCAAAAATCCGGATCAATAGGATTTTGTCGTTGAGAAAAGAAACAATGTATCCAAAGCGATCATTATTCATTCATTTCCGTAGAAACAACCCACAATATCGACGGTATCCCGGAGAAAGAATATCACGGCTGCTGGCAATGTTGGAAGTTTACAACTTTCATTGTGTTCTGGACAGTTAGCCTTAGGGCACTGCTTTTAATAGACGGGCCAAATGAGGACGAGTCTTGAAATAAGATATACATTGGAAAGTAAAGTCTTGCAAGACAACCCTAGAAGTTGTGTAGCACTTTTGCCCTTGTGAACTAGAACAATGCAGGTCCTGTTTGTACCACCCCGATAAAACGGATAAAATCGATCGATCGATTTAATAGGCCATTTCCACTAAGAGGTCATGTGACATCGCTTTTATGAAAATGAAAGTTATATGATTTTGCCCTCGAAAAACGATTAGTGGGTCATATCTTAAACAAAATAATAGTGATTTGGTTTTTCAAACCAGCACCATTTTCTTAAAATGAGTCAGTTCGTAGCTGGTCACGTGACCAAAATGTGACTTTTATATTATAAATTAACTTTTTCTGAACACAAATTTTGCTCTTAAACTTCAAGGAAAATGTTGAAAATATGATGTGGTAACGTTTACAGCACATCTAAGCATAACCATCGAACGTTTTAAAACAAGATATAAGAAAAAAGTAGTTTTAGCCGGGCATACTCTTGCCCTCCAACATGGCGGCTAATACAAATCATACTACTTTGTTGAAAAATCGAAGTGCCGTAAAATATCTCCCTTAAATGTGTATCCTCTCAAATTTCGGGTGTAGGATAATTTTTATGGGCTCTGTCAATTTTTGGCATCAGCAAGATTGTTGAAAGGAAGCATTGGTCACGTGACCTCTAAGTGCAAGTGGCCTATTGTCAAATAGCTGATTAGTACGTATTAAGATTCACTCTTTTTGGCGTAGTAAAGAAACGCTTAAGTATCCGGTTTTGGATATGATCTTAAGAAACCAATTCCGTTGTCGATCATTTGGTTCAATAAGCCGTTTTTGGGTTAAAAATCCGGATTTGGATTTTAGTAAAGAAACGCACCCTAAATACGTTATATAAATTTGGCTATTTTGCTTGTGACCGTTGAGCCATATATAATGCATAGAAATTTTTTGGAGGAAAGCGTTTTTAAAGTTTTAAGTTTTTAAACTTGGGACTTAATAAGGCCATCCCAATAAAATGTTTCGTTTCCCATCGCCCCGTCTCTTGTGATGGTGGGTTGATCAGTTGGTCGGGCAAAAAAACAAAGGATGAACACTTGGAGGGATCTGGGTTCCAGAGAAGGCCGGGATGCTAATTAAGAGAGCCTGGTTACAAAGTCAACTCTTTTCGACTATCAAACGTCTAAACAGCCTTTCAAAAACGTAGTATCGATGTTAATTAAAGACAAGGACATCACATCATACCAATTGTTGTTAATAAGATCGTGTGCTTGTAAATTAAAGTACTTGCTTCTTTGACTAGTGAATCTGGCATTTTTTTTACTTTTCGAAAAAAATGGGTTGGTTGGGCGATGGGAAACGAAGTGATGTTATTCGGATGGCTTAAGCAAAATTTTGACAAAACTTACAGATCTTGCAGAATGTTCTCTTCGATAATCCAATAGAAATTGAATGAAAAATTGAATGCATGTTTTTTTTTTCAGCTCATATCGATAATACACATCTGTTTATATATTTCTAAATTTAGAAATATTTTCTAATTTGGGATGATCAATCTGTTGCAGTCAACATTATTATTTTGAATTATCGATTATTCGGTTATGAAAATTCATTGTTATATGCCAATTTTTAAGATAACGTTTGTGCTGTTATGTCCCCGTTTACTGAAAATTAAATGCATGGCAACTTAAACACTGAGAAATAAGTAGTTATCTGATTAAAATAGGCCAGGGCCTCCTCTAAGAGAAGTTTATTTGATGCAGGGAGGAATCAAACGCGAAAAGATTCCCCAAGGAGAAGAACTGTCAGTTATATTTCACTGCACCGTCTATAGCGATGATTTTAGCACGTTTAGTTACTTCTAAAGAGAAAAAGACGTAAGAAACCTTGGTAAGAGCAGCAGAGATTCGAAACCCCCAAGAAATCCTAGAAATCTTGAAGTCTTTAAGCGGAGGAGAAGGCCTGCGCATCTATTACCATCGAAAATATCGCGGCTTTTTTGCAATTAAGTTGTTAGTTAATTAACTCATCAATCATCTAACAGCCAGACTCACCAGGAACTGGTGGTTAGGAGAATCTCTATTCCAGGATCTTCCAATACTTCCACAGAATACGAGGGCATTAAATTTGCATTTTCTGATTTCCTTTGGAAAGCTAAAATATTTCAAGGGTACAAGGAATCTGTGAGATTTTAGTAGAATGCCAGCGAGCTATGCATTATCCGAAAGATAGCTGCTACTTAAAAGAATGACAGCAAGATTCTTGCCCTTGTGTCACTCTAATTAGTTGCAGCAGAGGCTTGTTATCACAGAACACGCTACGAGGAGCTACGCTGGGGCTTAAGCAAACGAGAGTGTGAACCCTTATATTAGCACTGAATTCATTTCGGACGGATGATGACTTAATATGCCTATCAAGAGTCTAATGCTTACCATATGCTTTTTGATTACATTGTGATAGAAAATGAAAGTCGTAAGGCTGTCTGAGATGGCTCAGTTAGTTGTAGAGCATCAAACTGGTCACTGGGACAAAGGAATGTAAGCTTTTTGACGTACATCAGATCAGATGTGATAGAAAAGAGAAAGTTTAAGGTTTTCTGAGACGACCGTCTCAGTTAGACAGTTGCCGAGAGTATTTAACTGGTCATTGGGAGCTAAGGAATGTAAGGCATCAACAAAAAGAAGCATATCAGAAGGAACATAGAGGGCAGAGTTTAGTGAGTTGCTCAAGTTTGAAAACTTGCCATAGAGCTCACGTGTATTCATCCTAATCCCTGCTAATACAACCTAAGCTAAACTCATATTGCAAATCGGCCGAAATATTCTAACATCTCATGGCAGAAAAAGATCAAAACAAAGACCCAACGACACATCCGCGATGTCTTTGGCAAAATGTCATGGCCCCCTCGCCCTTCAGAGCTGAATGACAGTGCCACAGATGTCCCTTAAGCGGCTAAGTGCGTTTACTTGACTGCTGACTGGCAGCAGAGATTCGCCAGAGAGAGCTAGAATGTTGTCAAAGAGACCAACGCCTCGTTTGCACATGCAAGACTTAGCTCATTTGGTGTAACGTTTAGCCAGAGGGAGCGTTAAGCCACCTAGAACAAATTCTTCTCCCGTATGCTGCAAAAACTCTCAGACGATCTCTTTCAGATGCTTCAGATGCACAGTTTCCGCCCAAGCACAGACAGCATCTATGAGCCGGCTCAGACAGAGATTGTTCTGTTCAAAGAGGCGTAACATTGAGTCCGACCAACTACTGCCTTGTGCTTATTGCCTGTTCAAGCATGTGTTCCGAGCAAACTTATCAACAGAAATGTGGAGGCTACGTCTTGAGAACTGCCCTGAAATTCCCAGTCCCTTCATTAATTAAGACATGTGTGCCCGGGGAGGTGGGGAGGTGGGGGGACTAAACTAAAGTCTTGGGGAGGCCCTGCTCCGAGGTCTCAAAACCAGAACATTTTCTTTTTTCTCAACAGGCATGAAATGCATCTTTTATCTCTTTTGGACCTCTTCACAAACCGAGATTTCCTTACCTTTCATATACTTCGACTATTGAAATCCCTACTCTTTTATATACCTGAAGCTTGAAGAAGGCACATTCTGAACATGGTGTAGTTTTCTATATATCCGGTACGGCCCCTCTTAGGTATTAACAAAACTCTATAGAATTACATTATAACAATCCTGCAGATTTTTAAATAATTTGCATTTACTAATCATAAACCCAAAAGAATGTAGAGGCCGCAGTCTCTCAGGTAAATGGTAAAAAGTCTTCCTGAGTAAATTTATTGAGCAAGAAAACTTGTAAACTTGGATCAGAATTGCTAGGCAATGCACAACCAATATCGTAGAACAAAATGTGCTCAAATTTTCATCGCTACCGATGTCGTGCAGTTTTTTGGTTTGGTTTGTTTGTTTCTTAGTTTATTGAGAACTTTTGCAACAATTTTAAACTTTAATTGAAATTTGAATACTACAACAACTACAACTGGTTTTGTCTACTTCGCGTCGGAGGTCAAGGAAACCCTGCATGCAATGAAAACAAACTGGAGAGACTGAAACATGATTGGCTGCTTATAGAAATTCTTTATTTTGATTGGCTGTCGACTCTCTGCTTGAATGACGTCCAACGTATCACGCAGGCGCCGTGACTGTGTAACCAGGATCTTTCCGCAGATGTATTTCTTCACAACAAGGCGGCCCTTAACCTTTTGCCAGTTATTAGAAATGAGAATTATCTGCTAGAAAATAGTAGATCTTCCTAGTTTGCATTGAGTAACCATCTCAGGAGTTTCAAGGTAGATGATAAAATGGACTTGGAACTTCCTGCTGGCTTCACAGACTTGCTACAAGAATTTACAGTGCAAGTCTTGCAAGATAAACCTGACGATATTGTGGAGTTCGCTGCCAATTATTTCATGAAACTCAAACTAAAGGAAAAGCGCTCCAAGGACGGAACAAAAAGAAGAGGGAAAGGTGTTAGTTTTCAGAGCGAAGAGGTTAATGGAGAGGAAAATTCGGATGATGAAGACGATGAAGAAGATATGGGTAAAAAAATTATTGGCTGTACAATAACCCGACATGCTCAATTTTGGCTATCGACTTAATGTCGATTTTCCGAAAGAAGTTTAAGAAACCTTTAGGCGTTTATTTCACGTTATAGCTTTCACTGTCTGTAACTCCTCCAACTTGGGATCTCATTAGTTATAGTGTGCAGAGCAATTTGATGTTATTGAAATGTCTCTTCGTGAGCATATAATAAACTCGTTACTACCCATTTGCAAAGCATTAAGCCCATGCACTACTGACTTTTCTTTGCTTTGTCCGTAAATGTAACCCGCACTTGGGGACATAAAGCTCAAACTATGCCCATTTATTCATTGTGCTTGTTGGAATATTTCAGAACCGCCAAAAAACCGCTTTGCAAGAAGACAATCAGGTTAGAAAGTTACTTTATTTCTGTATTTATTATAAGCTTAAGCTTACCCAAGTTGGTTTTTGTTGTTGTTGTCTTTGTTTTGCTTGACTTCAGGCGTGAAAAACATGATTTTATGCAACCAGCTGTGATCATTAAATCATATTTATCACCCTGCTCATTACTAACCAACAAGTTTTTGTAGTCAAAAGGTTTTGATTTCTCAGTTATTGAAACGAGTGACTAGGGAATTTGGGACAAATGAGTTACTTAGCTTTCGTTTTCAAGGGAACAACGTTTCAATAAGCTTAGAATTTTTCCACTTTTTATAGTTTGTGCAGAGCCACTGAACCCGGACTCGGATGAAGACGACGAAAATCCGGTTAGTGATACATTTCGTTTGTTTTTGAGCTTTACTAGTTTGTTTATTGGATGCATAGAAATCTACATAATTGCGCTTTAGTTGAGCACAATGTTTGTTTCCGTTACTCAGTTTGCAAATAACTTAGATGGCCAGGAGAATGAAGGTCAAACTAGGGGGCCTTAAAAATAAAGGATCTTGGTTATGATTGGACTGTACTTGTGTTTCATTGCATAGTACAGTAGACTCGTAGAAATGAATGATTTTGTGAATGATAAGTGTCCTTGTGCATGTTGTTCTTGATATTGTGCGACCGGTCAGTTAACCTCAGACAATGCATTTAAACAACTTCAAGATATTTTCAGAAATTTTAATGATAAAAGCATTCATTGATCTTCATTATTTCCAAGTTGACATTTATTGACCTGTTGATCCATCTCCATTGTCTGTGGTCTGGGATGTTTAATGTAATAGATTTCTAATAATGTAAACTGGCAGAAAATGATTACTTTGTGTGGTTTTCTCAACCAATAATTTCTCTTTTTTTTTTAGGTTGTGTATCCCAAATCAGATGAACAGCGTAAGCGGCTGAATGATGCTATCAAGAATATCCTCCTTTTCAAGAATGTTGAACCTGTAAGTCATAAACAGATAGTAGAAATCCAGCCTTGTTTTTGCTGAAGAGATAGCTGGTACTGAGACTAGTAAGTAGGGCTATTCACATGGTACCAGAATGACTTCCATTTCGGAATAAGACTAGTTAGTGTTGTTTCACAATGAAGGTTGTTGTACATTCACATGGCAAATTCCTATTTGACCCTTTTCGTATAAAATAATTTCCTTGCCCTTACTGTCTTATCTTGAAAACCATAGTGCCACTCATCCAGGTTTGTGATTTTTATTGTGGACTGTGAAGCTTATTTTCAGTTTACATAAATGATACCAGCATAAATAATTGTTGTACATACCACTACAAGAATTTCATTCAGTTGAAAACAAGAATAAAAAAGATAAATAAAAGACATGAATAAAATTATTCTTTGATAGAATTGAAAGCTTGTGTATAAAAAGTTTTTCTATCCTAGGAATTGAATCTTTGTTTACTCTAAAGAATAAACTCATTCCAGAATGACATGTACAGCAGTAACGTTTCATCTTAGTATTATGTAAACAGATACAGAGAAATTAGGGAAAGAAATTGTTCCAGAATGACAGTCAACAGGCGTAATTTTTCTTACAACTTGTCTTGCATTTTTGTAGCAACAAAAGCTGAAACAAAAATTGCATGATATAATCTCACCACTTGAAACATGTTTGATGCAGCAGCGCTTTGCAAAAAGGGGAATCAAGATAGTGCTTATGCTTTGTATTGCAGTTGCTGCAACATAACTGGTCATTATTGTGCTTGTGAAACTAGGCAATGTTTGTGCAAGTTGCCTTGTAGCAGCTCAAAAAAATAGTGCTCAACTCATATATTACTCAGAATCAAAGTAGTGGCAAGGTAGAGCTGCTTAGTGCACAAAGAACTTGTATTGACTTTAAGTTTGATACATGTACATAGAAAGAATTGCATTTCATTGTTGATCCTTGATTCTTAACCCTTTTTGTTTTCGTGCTTTATAACACTGTGAAACATTTGAACCCAGGAGTCAATTCATAAGTAGGTTGAGTATAATCTTGTGGGTGAATGTAGTCCTGAATAGGACTATTGTTGACAGTGATTGACATTTCAACAACCTGTGAGGTAGTCATCTTCAGAGCAAGGTTTTAGCCAGAAGGGTGTCCAGCTGTCATATGGATACCCATTTTGGAAGAAATATGAGGAACGTTCCTTTCATCTCTAATAATGTTATGAGAAAACATGCCTTCTGGACAGCCAGTTTTCAATGTCTGGCTGAAAGCCTGCTTCAGAGTCAAAGTGAGTCGTATCATGTCAGTTGATGGTATGTAACTCTGGTTATTGACCTGATTGGTCTATTAAGTTGCGATTTTGTTGGTTTTTTGTCAGTTAAGCCGCACAATGTTATCACTACTTCAAGAGAATCACTGGACAACTGAAAATTGACTAACATTAAACAACTGTTTAACTGTGAGCATAGATGGATTGAATTGCACCAATGACATTACGAGTCTTCATAGCCAGACAACTGACAGATGACCAATAACATTAGCCTTAATTGACCAATCAGGTCAATAGCCAGAGTTTAGTACCATCAACTGACATGATACAACTCACTTTGACTCTGAAGATGACTACCTCAAAAAGTTGTCAAAACATCAGTCACTGTCACCAACAGTCCTATTCAGGACTATGTTCACACAGACAATCGCACTCAACCTACTTTATAGCACCAGTAGAAAACGTTTTCTATGTTTGTGTGGCCTGATATAAAAAATGAGAGGTTGTTGAGAGAATGAAGTTAAGTGTTTTGCATAGCTTTCAATAATTCTCCCAAACCCTTGAGCATTAAAATCATGCTGTGCAAATTCTCTCTAGGGGCCAAGTGTTGTTCATGTTACAGGTCAAAATAAAATTCAGGTTAAAATTGTTTAACCGAGGTTGATTATTAATTTTCTGTTGCCTCATATCCTAGCCCTAATTATTCGTGAATCAGGAAATTGAGAGTCAACCTAGGTTAAAAAATTTTAAGCTGAATGTAATTTTGACCTTAACATACACAAAGGTTTTGTATGGATAATTAGTTCTTGTTTTTGCTTAAATTGTCAGCTGAAGTAAAAGAAACTTTTGTATGCCATGCTTGTACAGAATTTGCAAGTTTAAAAACTAGAAGTTATAATTTTTAAAGTAACCTTTCAGGGTCTTAGGCTCAAAACTTTCGTCAACATAGTGGTTGCATGATCAATGCATTGACAAGAAAACATAATAAATATACTCTTGTGTAAACAAACTTCTCAGCTAATCACAGTGCGCATACTATGTTAGTTATTTTAAAAATATTTATCTTTAGGAACAATTAAATCAAGTTCTTGATGCCATGTTTGAGAAGAAAGTACAGCCTGGGGAGCATGTCATAGATCAAGGAGATGATGGTGACAACTTCTATGTCATAGATAGAGGTGTATATGACATCTATGTGAAAATTGATGGCCAAGACAAACTGGTAATTTTAGAAAAAAGTTTATTTTGTTAAACATAGGAAATTGCTGCACTCTTCTTAATGGTGTTTCTGTGTTTCAAGGTTCATTTCTTCCCGTACGATACAGAAGACGTTAAAACAGCGCTGCTTTAGCGACTTATTAGCGCTGCAACGGGCGCTGCAGAAAGGTTGCACGAACGCTGTTTTCCGTTCGCTGCAGCAGTGCATTTTTGTGACTGCGTTAACGCTGCGGTAGCGACACTGAGAGCTGCAGAAGCGCTGCCGTAAAGATGCAAAAAAATAGCCACACGAGGCCATACGGTCGATAAACAGCTTTTAGGCAGCGCTGTGTAGCGTTAGTGAAGCGCTGCAAAGAACAGTTGTACAAAAAAAAGAAATGTAGACTTCAACAATACAATAATCATGAGACATGGTTAAGGAGTTGACAAGAGGCCTTATAGTAGCGGAGTAAAAACCACAAGAAAGACAAAATGCAACTGATACTTTATTAATATCCAAGCGTACACGTTACAAAAGCAGGTGACATATAAAAAATCTACAACAGTCTCGCTTTGTGAATATTCAGCAATCACGGTCACTCATCTAAATATAAGAACATCCATTAACCATGCCGACATTGAAGTTTATCTTTTTTGAAAATAAAGAGAATAAGAGTGATTGTTCTACATAAAGTTTGCACGGACAGCAGCCAAATGATGTTTTGATTCGTTGCAACAGGTTAAGCCTAACATCACTCACCTTGACGTTTTGTCCATGATCCACGATCTGCCGTCACTGTTTTCATGAAAGAAATCAACCCAATTTTACTTTGGTCGTCGTTAAATTTTACAACAGACTAAGGAACGTACATCATCGTGAACGTTTGAATCTTGTAAATACATGCGTACCCCAGCTGAGATTCTTGTATCTGTGTTGCTTGCTCTGGTTCGATTCGTCGGTACTTCGCGTAGAATTCACTAAACAGTTTCGTTGTTTACAAATACCTTTGAGCTGTTCCATCCAAAAACATTAACAGAACTTCCACCTCGAAACAGAACTAGATGCTAAAAACTTACAATGTATGAATGTTTGCGCCTTTCATTCAACGGTCGCAAATGTTTGTCTAGCGATGTAATGCGATCTCATGCAAAAGTGCCGACCAATTAGATTACAGCCTGGAATGTCTCCAGGGAATTAGCAATAACATTCCCACACTCGCCAGTCACAGAATAAAATTTATTGAAATCTTTATTCCAAAAGCATAGAATTTGGAGGTTTATTCAATAAGTGATCTTCCCTGCACACAAGCTTACTCACATTTCTTAGAGGTACAGTCAAAGTTTTCTCGTTGTGAAAGCGGTAATCTGTGGCAAAAGGCTTTTCTGGCGATTCATGTTATGAGCGCTCAAGAACGTTGTGCTATCAGATCGAGCGCGGCTGAATTGTAGCGTTACTGCAGCTATTGAAAGTCGGCAACTGCGCTGCAAAACTGCTGCCGAGAGCTTCAAAGGCTGCACCAGCGCTTTTGCAGCCCGCTGCAACTTGAATTAATCTGTTGTTTGGCTTCTAAAATGCTGCTAAACAGCTGCAATTTAGCTGTACAGCTATTTTTAAGAGATTTTGAAGCGATTTTGTGGCGCCGTACAGCGCTGCAAGTTTCGTACGGGTTTGCTCTCCAGGGTTTTAATTTTGAAGATCTTTAAGTCCTTATTTGGTATCTGCAGCGTTGTGCAGCGATAATGCAGCCTCAAGCGTCGCTTGTATTCAGGTTGTCATATGGAGTGGTTTCAATGTTTATATCTAAGTCTCATTGCAGCTTTTAAGCAGCGGCCCGCAGCGCTGCTTTACCGCTGCTATACCGTGGCAAAATGTTGCAGCGCTTTCGCAGTGCACGAAATGTGACGTTCTCTGCTTTAGCGAATCTCGAGCACTGCTTTACAGACGCTTAAGCGCTGTGCAACCATAAAAGTGAACTGCTGCAGCGCTGCGGCAGCGTTGCGTCGTTCGTACGGGTTGTCATCGTAATTATGATCAATGGCAGCGAATAACGTAATTGTCAAGGCGCCTTTTGTACTTCAGAGTTTGCTGGTTTTTGAAAAGTGCAGTGATTAACGTTTTCTTTAACTGTTGTTCTCATTAGGTAGGAGCTTACAATGAGAAAGGTAGCTTTGGTGAACTGGCATTAATGTACAACACTCCAAGGTATTAAGATAATTATTTATTTGAATAAACATGACAGCAAGTTCTTTGTTTTGTTAACAAGTTAAAAAAACTTGTGAATTTATTTATTGTAGGGCAGCAACCATTATTGCAACATCTGAAGGAATACTTTGGGCTCTGGTAAGAAGCTGAAATATTAATTAGTTTATACTAATATCAATCAATTTTTTTGTGAAGGATAAGGCAATAGATTTTTTTTTGGAAATCATAAAGTGTAGGGTTTTGTTGGTGACTCATACACATTGTATTTGGTAATGTTTTGAAGAAACAGCTGTCTTGTTCAGGGTTTTCACTAAGATTTCAAGTTGCTGGGTAAATACAACAAGTAGGCAGGGAATCAAACGGCTAGGGATTTTGTTTGGTTCTATTTTTCTTCTATTTTCCAATAAAAGTAGCCGGGGGCCACTCTCTTAGTAGCTGGGGAAAATCCCCGGCCCCTTTTTGGAAATCATAAAGTGTAGGGTTTTGTTGGTGACTCATACACATTGTATTTGGTAATGTTTTGAAGAAACAGCTGTCTTGTTCAGGGTTTTCACTAAGATTTCAAGTTGCTGGGTAAATACAACAAGTAGGCAGGGAATCAAACGGCTAGGGATTTTGTTTGGTTCTATTTTTCTTCTATTTTCCAATAAAAGTAGCCGGGGGCCACTCTCTTAGTAGCTGGGGAAAATCCCCGGCCCCTGGCTCTTAATGACAACCCTGCTTGTTTCAGTGTTCCAGATAAGAGATGGGTCTCGGGTAAATAACCCAACAAAGAAGGCTTGCTGACCCCACATATGAAAGATATATTTAATAAGCTAATTATAACGAAAAAATTGGTTGTGGTTTGGGTGACCCGTCAGATGGTCTACATGATCTCCTGCTTGAAATAATTAACTGGAATGCTGTGTTTTACAGGACAGAGTTACATTTAGAAGGATACTGTTAAAGGCTGCAGCCAAAAAGGTAGGTACAACTTGAGGTGCTAAATTTTGCACCACATGTAAATTTTGTTTGTTAGGCAATGCATTAGGTCATGATAGCGGGAAATAGGTCTGTTTGCACATTAACACCGCAGTGGCCAGTGAGTGTCCAGGTCGATCCCTTGTCAACAGTTTATTCTGTTGTCATCATCTATATAAATATTAGGACATTTAGATTTAAGGACAAGAACGACTATGAGTATGACTACTACGATTTGATTTAAAGTTTTTTTTTTTTCGCACATTGTCAAAAAAAGACACCCAAAATGCTTCTATCATTGAACTGTTTTTGACCAATAAAGTTAGATCAACTGTTATCCTCTTAGTATTAGTAGTATTAGTCTTCTTCTATATAATTATTGGAGACAACATTTATGTTTAACTTCTGCAGAAGCTAAGATCCTTTGAACTTTACCTGAATAAGTGCAATTATTCAGTGTACTGTTCAGCCTAAAAGAAAATCCAAAGTCAATTTAAAATTGACAAGAAAATTCCAATGGAAATATTGTTTCGTTGCTCATGAACCCTTGTTTCCTTTCAGAAAAAAAACAATTTTGTGACCATCAGCATTTTTGCCAAAACTTAGGTTCAGCTCATGACGAGTTTGGCATCTGACCTGTGCCAAACACTCTTCATCCCTAGGAAATCTGTTAAATAAAATAACATATTCCATGCCGCCGTGCAACTGTTCAGTATTAGATCACAGATGATAACAAATGTCGAAAAACCAAGAACACAAGCCACAGGCAGGTTTTTACCACATTTTGACATCTTCTGTAATCTGTTACTGAACAGACACAGGGCAACATGGAATCTACTCATTTTCTACTATGAACAGGGAAGAAAAACTGACATACTTGCCTCATACTTCTTGACTATTCGAGGATTTGCTTTAGTTTGAGCATTTTAAAGTCACAAACTCTACTTTTCATCCTTACATCTTCTTTTCTTCTTTATTATACTGTAAACAGTTTGCCTGGGAAGTTTTTCATTGCCTTCACAGTTTCAAAACTGTGGGTCTCTCATACCAATGACACACAATGGCAACTGTCATAAAGATCTGTTTCAGTTTAGGCATTTTCAAGTCGTCAAGAACTCTGTTTCTCTTGGTTTCTCCATTGTTCCTCTTTGTAACTAGCTTCTGCAAACCCTTTTTGGAGGCTTTCACTTGCTTACACTGAAATAGTCTTGCAAACATTTTAAAACCGCACACCATGTTAAACAAAACAAAGAAAAGCAACTTCCCGTGACATCATCCATTTGTCTGTACTCTGACGAATAGATTATGAGATCATGGGCAATGACCAATCACAGTGCGAATAATATTCACCACATAATTTGTGTAGTTGAAATTATCCAAAAGTGATTATGCATTACATATTGATAATGGTTATTATTAATAGGTGTGTAATGTCAAGTTCCATGCTTTTATTGATAATTATGTTGTTTTGTTTTCAGAGAAAGGCTCATGAGGCTTTACTGGAAAATGTTCCCATGCTAAAGGAGATTACAGTACGGTGCCTGTTCTGTTGCTTTCCCTAAACAATAATATTTCATGTCAACTGTAACCCACTACATAGACTGAACATTTAATTTGATTGTTTTTGTATAGGATTTTAAAATATTTTTGTTTACTCTCTGTCTGCTTAATTGTATTTATGTTACAGGACTATGAGCGCATGAACCTAGCTGATGCATTAATGTCCAAAAAATTCAAAGATGGAGATTGTGTTATAAACCAGGTGAATGTTGTTGATTACAAACATTTTAGAAAGAGTTGAAAACAACTATTGAACAAAGTTTGTGTGATCAATGGCAGAGTGATGAGCTCGAGAACAGTAAAAAATGCAAATTCTTAGCTTAAATTAATGAGCATCACATCACCCTCCACATGTTGCCATCTTTACATTTTTTAAACATGCTGTTATGTTTGAGAGTCCTGACAGTAGAAATTGGTTATTAGAGAGTTTTAGATCCGAGTTTACTGTGAACCTCTAACCACTGGAGGTCATGTGACAAGTCTTTTGCGTCACGTTTGAGGTTTATGACGTGTGTTTTAAACGTGGGGAGGTAGGTTTTCACGTAGGTCATTTACGTGAAAGCTTTTACTGTATAATTCTTGTTTTATCTCACGTGATGATACAAAAATCATGTGGAGCAAGTCTTTATCCATTAACAGAGGCACAAATTCGGGCGAAATGCTAATTTTGATAAATCCTATTGGATCTTGAAAAGAAGTGCCATTCATGGCTGCTGATTCAAAATGGCGGCCGTAAATTTGCAACAAGAACTAATGTAAGAATTTACAGCTCTTTGCTGCTAGATAACCCAGTGTTACCGCAGGGTGCAAAGAAAGTCAGTTTTACAGCCTGCCATTCGGGCAAGCTGTAAATAGCATGTACTAGCCCACAAGTCATTTCAACTAGCCCCAAAACCCTTTTTGCTTGGCAGGATTGATAACAATCCTTCTGTAATTTGAATTTCCCCAAAAAACAGCACTTACCCATCAGGTAAGTTAAGAACAAAAAACACTAGCCCGATAGCAAAATCCACTAGCCCCGGGCTGTCGGACACGACTTTCTTTGCACGCTGTACTGTAAGTTTCTTTTATTTTCACTGATTGATATTTCTTCTATTTCTAAATGGAAAAATAAACCCGAATCCACTCTAAATCGAATTATGTTTGAATGTTGAACTGCAAACGGGTAACCTCAAACCGCGGTTAGAGGTTCGCGGTAAACTCGGATCTAAAACTCTCTATTGACACATATTTTTTACTTCTGGGGTGTGCATGTAATTTTCTCACGAACTGTCAGAAAACGTGTAAGAAGTGTAAAAATTTAGAGGTAATGGTAGTGCAGGGTCTCGATGACTTTTTCCATAAGCAGTTGCAGCTGGTGGAAAAGGCAGCTGTGACCAGCACAGCCCAGTTGCCCCTGAAATCTGAGAAGACAGCAGATAGAAGTCCTATAGGTGGGGTTAGACAATCAATATCTGGCTTTTATTGAAACCCTGGTAAACGGAGGTTCCAAACTAGGTTTTACAAAGGAAAAAACTCGGAAAAAAAATCTATATATTTGCAGGGAGATGATGCAGACTGCATGTACTTTGTGGAAAGTGGCATGGCATCAGTCAGAATACACAATCAAGTAAGTTTTACAACATAATAAAGGAAACAAACTGCTTTATTACCATCGAAGATTGGAGGATGCTTGTGCACCAACATGCATGAAGCATTTGACCCGATAATCTTGAAAAACACTAGAAGTATTTCTAGTATACAGTGGAACCAGCTGTTTATACAGTCACCATGGGCCAAAAAAATTTGACCGTATTAAAGGGTGACGTTATTTAACAAGGTTTTTTTACAAGAAAATGAATGGCCGTTTTGGTGGGTGGCCAAAAAAAGTGGCTGTAATGGTGAAGTGACTGTATTACCAAGGTGGTTGTAAGGTGGGGTTCCACTGTACACACAGTCAAAACAAGACAAAAATTAGAAACAAAAAATTATGTTGAGTCTTAAGCTTTGAATTTCTTCAAGAGTTACTGATTACAGTACTTCATCTAATAAACCAGACACCTTGAAGTCTATCTGAAAAATCTAGTTTAGGCTGCACCTTGGTCTCTGAGCTTACATTTCAGTGTCTGCATAATCAGCCAGTGGAAAAACTGTCTCTGATGAAATTACAAATGAGATTTTGCATGAAAACATGATATCTTCACAGGCAACAACATGTTATCTTCAGAAGTTAAAAGGTTACTGTTGCTGTAGTTACACTATAAATTGGCCCTTTTGCAGCAATAAAAAGTGAATGGTTTGTTATTTCATTGTTGTTCATAATAATGCCACTGAAATCACTCAACTGTTTTCTAACGATTATCTGCATTTGAATTATTTTGAATAGCTCACTTGATCATTTTGAGCAACTCATGGAGTCGTGGGACTTCCCCTAAGTTTCAAGAAACTCAGTAATGAGGGATCTTGTTTCTTGTTTGCTCTACCCCTGCCACCACTCAATGTATCATTAATAAGTGACCTTGTATATTTTCCAGTTGATTTCCCATGCCGAAGAATTCGTGACTCGTTTGAACTGTTGTTATAGTTTTTCTATAATGGATAGTCACATGGTCAAACAAGGAGCTCAGAATGGTCATGTGAGCTTAATTGAATATTCTAATGCATAAGGTTATTACTTTTTTTGGAGTGCCAACAGTTAGTGATTTGGGTAGTAAATAGAACGTTATAGGCCTCGTGGAGATACAAAGTTCCTAATTTCTTGTGTTGAAAAGTATTTCACTTGTTTCCTGTGCTCCCCTGCAAAATTGTTCAAGAATGGAAGAGAAATTTCGTATCTCTGCTTTCTTATGCATTTTCTTCTCATTTTTGTGTCCTAATTTTAACACTTAACCAGTAGTGACACTGCTTACAGTATCCTTCTTTTTGTGTAAGGATGACCCAACAGAAGAAGTTGAGTTGACGCAGTGCACAAAAGGAGGATATTTTGGTGAGCTGGCTCTGGTCACCCACAAGCCACGAGCCGCCTCTGTTTATGCAGTTGGAGATCTGGTCTGTGCAGGTAAAGAAAGTGCAAATTTTGTAGACACTAATTGGTCTCTTCCGCCCTAACCTACAAAAACATCCATTTCTCCTCGATAATGGCCACCCCAAAAGTTCTTCCTTCCCCACCACTGATAACAATGTTGGGTGTTAAGAATCCTGCACGTGTCAGACCTTGTCCCATGCTGTAGGTTATGAAAGGTCCTTCAGTTGTAATTAAAAGAGGCAGATTCACGTCTGTAAATTATGTTAAGCCACCCTGGTGAAAACAGACTTTCCCCTAAAGCTTTGCTTTAACGGATTGTTGTTCTCTCTTCGCATGTTGTGAAGCTGGTTGAAAAGAGTAAGGTCTTTTTCAGCCAATGAAATAGCCGGGAGCTGACTCTTAGCGAAATCCCCGGTTCAAGATCGTGAAACACTTTTGTTATTCTCAAGTTTCTAGCTAATGAAATTCTTGTTTGTTTCTTTTTTTTAGTTCTTGATGTTCATGCCTTTGAGCGGCTCCTTGGCCCATGCATGGACATTATGAAAAGAAACATAGATGGTTATGAAGAACAACTTAAAAAACTTGGCGTTGGAAATACAGAACTGCGATAAAGTTCATCGCAGAAAATCTTCGAAGTTAGGACTGTTGATAGATGGTCTATTTTTAGACGTTGAACAAAATGTTTTATCACTTTCCGACAATTCAAATTTGCCAACATATTGTTTTAGAGTTTACACAAAAGGAGAAATTGCTACATCTTTCATTGATTCCGTTGTTATTTATAAACAGATTTGAGCTTAACGTAGTGTTTGTGCCAAGAAATTGTTATAATTTATTGTTTAATGAATCATTTTCATACAGGAGAAATAAAAACTTATGGAAAATGTTTATTACAATATTCTGACTTCAACTGTAAATAAAACTTAAAATATTTATTAAAGTGAATGCCTCTTCTTTTTTTCAATCTTGCAAAGCCAGAATGAAAATTTGAAAAAAATCCATGTCACCATGTTTTCCGCAGGAAAACTGTTTCATTTTGACAAGTCCTCTAGATCTTGGTGCTGCGGCCATGTGCAATCACCAAATGACGTAATGATTGAAAAGACACTGAACAGTAGCGGTATAGGGATGTTTTACTCCATCTGTGGCGGGGGGATCTCGTTAACTTGCGGGGGAATATATTAACGCCAATGACGCCATGGCCTTTTCTCTTTATCTTATGAGGGACGTCACGTTACCATGGTAGCAAAATTTCTGGATGACAACAAAAGGGAGTTTCTGCAATGGCGACGGCCAACTGCAAACAAAACAATAGGTTTAGATTGGCGAAAAAAATCAACTTTGCAGGTGATCACGCTTTTCTTTGCCTTATGGGGTGGGTGAGCACAACACAAAAAGTTTCTTTTTCTTTTTTCTAAACTTAGATACGGTCCTTTCGGATTTAACCCAGAAAATTTCGCCAACATGTGACAAATTAAATAAAATTGAATAAGATCGATGAAGTTTGAAACAGAGCGAATTTACTTTTTAAGGTGGCTGAACACAGTTTTGCGGGCGGTCAGCGGTATCTCGCGTGACGGCGAGTGTGTTAACTTAGACAAACAAACATGGCGGCGAAAAAGCAATGGTACACACAGACGATTTCTCAAAATCTACTCATTAAAATTTTGTGATATTTGGAGGAATTTTTACTTTTATCGTATTTTAGATAATGAGAACTTTAAAATGGAAGTTGAACAGACGATTTTTGTGACACATTTAATAATTACAGTACAATTATATTATAGATTATCTAAAAACCTCTCTGTTAAAATTTGGTCAAATATGTTTCAAACGGTAATGATTAATTTTGAGTTGACTTGAGAACGGGAACGGCACGGCGATAAATTTTAAGTTCTCTCTGTAAACTCGGACACGGTGCCCGCTCTTCAGTTCCAACCCAACTTCCCTCCTTTCAAGTTACTGGGTGACTTTGTATAACGGCGAAAAAGTTTTAAAGGACGCGAAGTCTAATTTTCAGCAACGTTTTCATTGGCGTCGCCGTTGTCGGATCGGATTCCCCTGCAAAAAAGAAGTAAAACATCCCTATACCACAACTGTGAACCATACTCACATCACAACACAAAAGCAAACCAACGTAACAATAGTTTCCTCAACACCAAGAAACACCCAAGTTATAGTTAATAACTATATACTAGGAGTAATCGGAGGTTAGGAGAGTGCGTTCGATACGTTTTCTAGGCGTGCAGGTAGGAGTTGAAGGGAAAGTCTGGATGGTTCTTGCGATAAATAACTATGATTATGGCATATTTTGAACGTAAGGATTGCGTACATCATTAACACTCATTTCTTTCAAGGGAACATATGCACCCACAATTGACCTGCTCCCAACGTCAGTGGCTTCAAAGCTCAGTTGGTAGAGCATCGCACCAGTAATCGCTAGGTCACGGGTTCAAACCCCGTTGAAGTCCTGAATTTTTTTCAGGCTTCTTCACGCAATTGCACAAATTGCGTTCACTGCGACGATCATTTCTTCATTTCCAAAGATCATAGTGGTTGCAATGAATCCGTTTTAACTACTGATTTTCCAAATTAGCATTAGGTTTGGCTCTTGTGAAGTTCAGTTTATTTACGCCCATCAAATCAAACAAAAAAATCAAATCCATTCACGAAAAGAGCTTGGATGAATTTTATTACTACAAACACTGTAATATAACATAATCCTCCAAGTACTACAAAAAAATCTGCAATAATTTGTGTAAAATTTCACTTGTGTATGTATAACAGCACTTTCACGCTTTTTACAATGTTTACTAATAGGGCCGTTTGCATCAACAACTCAAGGTAAGGCTCATCTAACCGAAAACGTTTCATGCTTGTCATTTGCAAGCTTTACGGCCTACAGTCAATGAAAGTACCATTTACCATGAGTTTGTGTCTTAAGAAATTCATATGAACAGCCCTACTTTTGATTTTGCTAAACATAAATACAGTCAGTATTATTTCATTTGGTTACTCTAATTCTCTAAACATTTTTCTCACGGAATAGTAATGACAGGCCCAATGTGACTAGCATGTAGAGATAATAATTTTTAAACATTTCGCTTAGAGGCTGGCTGTTTGCAACACAGTACGTTTGGCCGTTGAAATAACAGCCTAGTGCACACGAACAAGCTCTCCATTTCTGGTGAGCGTGGTAAGACCCAAGTCACGAGGGATGGAGGAGAAAAAAGGAGACTTTCTTCCCCTCCCTCTTGCTCTTCCGTCTCCCCACCGGCAAATGGAGAGTTTGCTTGCAGGCTATTAAAAAGATTGTCAACGTTTTTGGACGAATAAGTGTTATTTGTTGCATTGTTTTTTATGTTATGGTTGCCATGGGAGAAGTGCCACACCTAGACTCAAATGCATACTTATTTTCAAAAAGGAGAAAGGACCAAATCTCATTAAAACAACACAGATTGCAGTCTGCATATTTGCAGCCGTTGCTTGTACAATGGAACCTCCATACAACGAATTTCTATAATAACGAAGTTCTCGGTACAACGAACGACATTCTTCCTCCCAGTACATGTAACAGTAAAAAATATAGAAAATAACCAAGATGTAACGAAACCCGGTTAATCCCTTCGTCATATTAGGGTACCGCTGTATCCAGAGAGTACAAGAGGCCAGCATCATCCAGAAATATGCCTGCATTTTTCTGATTTATTTGGAAAATGAAGAGGAAAGCCAGTCAACCAATCAACTCCCTGGAATGAGCGAGCAAGGGAGCCGTATCCAAATGTAGCACTCAGCGATCAAAGGAAGATGGTCTTGAAAGGATGCTTGGCACCCCTGTACATGCATTGCCACTTTGGGTGTCCTATGTAGGTGCACCTACTTTTTAATCACTTCTGATGATGTACAAGTGCACATAAAAAAATATGGGCCTCGGCGCAAGTTCACTTGCACATGCCTGAAGGCGTGCAGGAAATCCATCTTAATAAATAAATTATACACAGAGAAAGTCATATCATTAAACCCATCTGGACACATCTGATAATTTTAAGCAAGACTATCAAATACACTGTCCTAACAATTTCCTAATTTTTATGGCAAGTACAAAACGCAGGTCACGGATCACAAGTCAGGTTAGAGTACAGCACACAGTGCTACGGTAAATAAATAAAACTAAAAGTATCTCCTAGCCCTAATAACAATCTGAAATAGAGTTTTACTTGAGGGGGAAACTGCGTCTCTCAGTTATTTACCAGTACAGCGATGAACTGCACTTGTGATCTGTATTGTGTACCTGCCAATTTTTTTTTATAATAATAATACTATTATATACATTAACTTCACCAGCAAACAAACAATAATTCCTAACATGAAAATGTTTAACGTATCAAGAGTCCAGTAATCTTAAAGTAAGCTGAAAAAAAAAAGAAAAAAAAGGATGTCCTCAAGTACAAAACATCAGGCAAAGTTTTCCCACAATCGTAGGTTACAAACTTAGCCATCATAGTTGCAAACAGTGAGCTTGCTCCTGCATCAAGGAATCCTAAATTGTTTAGGTGTAACCCCGCTGTTGTCCTTAAAATGAATAAGATGGATAATCTCCACACATTTTAAGGCGCTACAACAGCAGGGTTTAACCTCAGCAACCAGTTGCAGAGACATCAGCCCCAGAGCTCTTTGTTTTTCCTAGTGTTGTGAAAATCTGAAAGTGCAAGGAAAAGTTAAAAAAGATAGTCACACACCTAATACAGAAAACGTGTATTAACTCCAGTGCCGGATCTAGACATTGAGATAAAGGGGGGGATTGGAGGTGGGAGCAGTCATCCAGACCCTTAGATAATGAGCTGGAGCGGTCTCCCAAAAAATTTTTTCCAGCCCTTTGGGCCTCAGTTTGGTCTAAAAATAACGGTGCCTCCCCTGTATCCGCCACTGAACTCTACCATCCAAGGCCCAAGAAAACCGTGCTGTATAAACTCTTTCACTCCAGCAGGGAGTATGGAGGGTTTGGCTATTTTAAGGTCGTGTTTCTGATCAGAAACACAACAGAGAGGGTCTTGCAAGTAAGGAAATAACTTAAAGGGTGCATGGAAAAAATAAACCCGATTTCTACATTTTGCTTTCAATTTAATTTTTTTCGAACAATATCGGTACATCATCAAGAGAAAAGGTAACAACAATTAATTCAATGATAATCAAAGGAAAAGTATTTGTCGAATTCTCCCAGCTAATTCTCACAGAAAATGTTTGGAAATTAGTCTGGAAAATCTGTATGTGGATAAGTAATTACCTCAGACACTGTTGGGTGGATCCCCACAGTTCTGTCAAAGTCGCTCTTTTTGGCTCCTAACTTGATAGCCACAGCATAACCTTGAGTCACCTCTCCAGCATTTGGACCAAGGAAATGAAAACCAACCACACGTTCCTAAAACAGAATAACAAATAAGTTACCAGGGTGACTTGATGAAATAACCAATGTCCTTGTCATAAGAGATAACTCAGTCTATAACTGAGTGTAATTCAATCAGCAAATCTGACTAGGAAATAAACGTTCTATTAGAGAAAACATTAATGCAAATTTTGAAAAAAAACATGGCTGTCAAAACTTGGTTGCCAAGGTGATGTTAATGTTGACAAACACGTCACAATGACTTTAAAATGTGCCCAGATTTTGAGAGAAGTAACTACATTTGGTGGTGAATTGAACAATTTCAACGCTATTCAACTCCAGTGTTGGGAGAGGGCCCCCCAATATGCATAGGGTTAAAGATGCATATAGCTGGATAGATTGACTCTGATGACATTTTTTTTTGGACCAACCAAAATGATAACCTAGCTAGACATAATTATGTTCTTTCAAGCAAGAAAAATTCTTTGCAGCTCTGGCCTGGGTTTCAACACTATTGTATCAGTATTTCACAGTAAAAGCAAAACACAAAATTTTCTTAATTATTAATTTAGTGATTGTTGACAATGCTTGATGAGTGCCAAAAAAAAGAAATAAACTTCTCAATAATCTTGTTAAACCTATTTTTTTGTCTTTTAACACACCCAAATTAATTTGCCCTTAAAAATGTACGCAATATCGCGCGGCCAAACTGACAACTATGATGTAGAATGATTTGCAACAATGAAGAATAATTAACAAGATGGCAGCAATTACGAAGCACTGTCTTTGTCAAAACTACGCACTGATCTTTAGAATCTTCATTTACTTTGAGACACCTTTTATTATGGTCAGTTACGTCGCTTAATTCTACAGGGCACTAATCGTACACTAGCTGACATCACCAGCCTCTCTTTCATCCTTTACTCGTTTGCAGTCTTTTGGACATTTCTTTAAGGGAGAAAGCACATTTTGGATGGTAAAAGTTCAAGAATTTTTTGGGGGGACAGATTTTTAAAGTTCACAATATTGTTGACTAAACGTATCTATGGACCAAAATCAGTTTGAAAAGATGTTGTGTTGTATACACTTTAACCGAAAAAGAAAGGATCACTGCAGAGTAACAGCACTTACGTTCTCGCTCTTGTTGCAAACCAGCTTGACATAACACTCAGATGAGTCTCGTTTAGCCACAGTATACTCCAGAGGTGTATAGTTAGTGTGATACACCTCAATATTGTTCTCCCCATACTTTGCAATAGCATCTTCCTCTGCCAGCCCTATGCAGCCATACTCCAGTGGTGTGAATACTGTTGTTGGTACACTCTCATAATCACACTACAAAACAAAGTTTGGATTATTGAAATGTGTGGGTAACAATATGAGGCACTGTCAGTAACAAGTTGGCCGCCAGTCTTGAAAAAGAGGTAAAAGTAGCTCTGTACATAGTTTGAGGATTGCTTCCTACCCGCACGCTATTGCCGTTAATACAGTCTGTTAAACCTTCTGTAAGCCTACACCCTCTGCTATGGAAAAGGTTTCGCTTATGGAGGACATAATAATTATGCAGTGATTGTTTGTTCCTGGGACTATCGCAAAGTGTCAGATTATGGGAGATTTCAACCTCTGTTAACTTAGGCAGAAAACTTAGTAATGCTGTGTCAAGGTTTCAAAGATTCAGAGCATCTTGATTTCCAACAATTTCCTTGTTGGTTAAGCCTGGTTCTCACATGCTACTGACACACTTGTGACATAGCCGTTGGTTTCCCTAGGATAATTTTCCCATGGACAAAAATGTGCTGGCAACAATGACCACCCCAGTCTAGTCAGACTACAATCATGTGTGCGAAGTTGACTCAAGATCAACCTCTCAGACAGGCCTGAGGTAAGACAGATGACAACTATTGTTGCCGAACATTGGTGACATTAAGGCCCAGTTCAAACGTCAAACTTTTTTGAAGTACCGAACCTACTCCCTTCAATTAAGTGCACAACATTAGATTGACATTTGAATCAACTAAGTCCAACATATCTAATTTGAATCGACCCATGAATTAAGATCACATAACCTGGCCCATAGGAATTTCAACCGAGGAGTGACTCCATTTCAAACATCGAACTTTTCATTTTCATAAGTTACTATAATTATTTATTTCAGTGGTAAGCATTGTGGACCATTAAACATTGCGAAAATGATTTGGGTCTGACTAATTAAGTTTGACATCTGAATCAGCTATCGAAATTCTATCATTTGGCTCAACCAGTATAGGTATTAAGTTCAGCGCATGAAAAGTTTGATGTTTGACTAGGGCCTAAGTTTATTATTTCAGAATACAGCTGTAGATAAAAGAATCCCATACCAATTCATTTCTTTCACCATACAGCCGATGGGCCAGTAACCTTCCAGCATGAATCGCTACAGGAGTGAGCTCAAGTTTGCCCTCCAGAATATCTCCTATTGCATATATGTTTGGCACACTGGTTTGTTCATTGTCTGCTACAATGACTTTTCCATTACTGAAAAAAGATTAATAATGGTTAAAGAACTTCCATTCTGTGAAGAACATACAGCCTACAGGTTCTGAGGTGATGCATTTAACTTTAACCCAGGCTTACAAAGACCTTTGAAATCAATTTTCCTGTTAAGTAAAACATATTTAAAGCTTTTGAGATGTTGTTTACTCTAAAAAGACACAGGAGTTACAATTTCCTCCAAACAATATCAATACAACATCTGCAGAAAAGGTTTTGAGAATTTTAACATTAATTTACTGTAAGTTAGTCTTCCGTAAGTTAGATCTGTTTTCAGCACAAATAGGACAGTGTAACAGGACAGTAGGCGTCGTGCCTAAGTAATTGGACAGTACGCGCCATCACACACGCACACTTAATAAATGGCTCTTTTTCACTGCTCTTGAAATTTCTTGTGTTTTAATTGAAGAAAAGCCTTAAATATTACAAATTTGTTATAGTTATGATTAACCGGTGATAGAACTTTGTGTTGTCCAATTCGGGCTGTACTTATACTCATGATTAAACACATCAGACTCCTGCTATGGTCATCTGATTTTGTTAATCACTCATATGATTATAGACCGAATTGCACTCCACTCAGTCATATTACCATTATTAATCAGCCTTTAAGGAATTGGGTAAGGGTGTACGTTTTGTCTAGGAACATGTGTGATATTTTTGTTTATTGTGATCCCTGACTTCCAATAACATAAAAGTATCATGAATGTTTTGGACATTGTTTTCACCACACTAGGCTAGTTACCTTTAAATTTGTTTTATTAGCAGTTTTAACAGAAACAAGGTTATTTTATCTTTGATTCCTTTTGGTTTTTTAGGAGTTTTATAAACTCTTAGTTTTAATGGTAAGTAAGCTCTGAAAGTGAGGTTAACCCTTAAGCCTTTAAGTTGGAGACTGGGTCCAAGCGTAGTTGAGAATTTGATCGACAGATAAATAATTGTACTTGGCACAATTGACTGGGACCTCATGTCCTGGAATCTTCTCTGATTGCGATGCAGGAGAGAATGAAACCTGTTGCATTAAACTAAGTGACTTGTGAGATTGTTGGGGAAACTAACTTTCAATAACCCATTCACCCAAAACCGCCTGTGCAGATCCATATCCCTTCCACCGCTTGTGGTATCATCAGTTTCAACCCATTCGAGATTTTGCAGAAAAACGCGTTTTGAAGCTAGTTGAGTGGTTTTCTGGTCACTGTCATGCTATAAAGAGTTAAAACTTACCACAAACCGGTTTACAGGTCGCACACTTTGCGGCCTTCTGATCCAGATGCAAAATATCAGCTTGCGAAGTTCCGGCATGCGCAGAAAGCAAAATTTCGAGATAGTTTTTGGGTTTAAAAGTGATACAGCAGTCTTGACTTTTACTTTTCGCTTTCTCTCCTCCCTTCTTTTTACGCTTTTCTTGCCTCTTTTTTTTTCTCTTGCTGGGCATTTAGTAGGCCTCATTTTGGTGGAAAGAGTTGTTTGGAAAGCTTTTAGGATCTTAGGATTAGGTGAAAGGAAAGGTAGGTGGGCAATGGAACAAGATTTTCATGGAGATTTTCAGGTCAATGTCAAGTGGTTTTTTGCTTCTTTCTCCGCCGTCCTTGACTGAATTGTGCTCATTCTGGTATGCTTTAAAAGATCTCTTCACTCTGCACAAGTTAACAAAGAAAGTTGTCCTTGACTGTTAAAACTGATGACATCACAAAGGGTAGAAAGGACCTGGATCCGCACGGGTGAATACGGGCGGTTCAGGGGTGAATGGGTTAATGGTCTATGAAAACTTTGTCAGAACTTGCGCAGGGTGAAGAGATCTTTCAAACCATCCAGAATGAGCACAATTCAGTCACGGTGGCCAGAGTAAAAGGCAAAAAACCATCAATGTAACATTGACCTGAAAATTCCCTTAAAAATCTTCTTCCACCACCCATCTACCTTTCCTGTCATCTAATCCTAAGATCCTAAAAGCTTTTCGAAAAACATTTTCCACGGAAATGCCAACTAAATGCCCAGCAAAAAGGAAAAAATGAGGCAAGACGAGCAAAAGAAAAGGGGAGGTGAGAAAGCGAAAAGAACAAGTGAAGACTGTCACATCAAAATTTTGCATTCTGCACATGCCCAACTTTAAAAGCTAAAGTTTTGCATCTGCAGGATCAGAAGGCCAAAAGTTTTTAGCCAAAAAGCCAACAGAAAACGGCTTGACTAGCTTCAACATGTATTTTTTGGCAAACTTTCCAGGAGCAAATGGGTTAAGTAATGAATATTACAACTGTACGTGAATTTCATATATTTGAACTGCAGTATGAGGAATTAAGATAATGAAAACTAGATCCTCATGCTTACAGTTGCATGCAACTTCTACAGTTACATGAAGAAAACCCCCAAAACTTCATTCCATTCTTCTGCAACTGCAAAAGTTGCAACTGTAACTGCAAGGATCTAGTTTACATTTTATTTTATTGAAACCATCATTGCTAGTGAATTCAAAGGCATTCCCATCATTATGCAACCCTTTGGGCAGACCTACCTTGGATTAAGTTTGACTCCAACATTTTCCAGTCCAATGCCCTGTGTGCAAGCATCTCTACCAATTGCAAACATCACCTGTGGGGTGAAAATTCAATCAGTGTTAAGTATGTGAACATTGTGAATAGGATCTCTCTTTAAGCCCCATATATCAACATACAAAATCTCCAGACTGACCCCCTTACATTTCCTTACAGAATCAGTTGAAAAAATTTTATAAAAGATCAAAGCATTTATATGGCTTTATTAATAATACTTTGGATTGGTGAGATGCTGAGTGATAAATAACTTACAGTGTTGCATTCTATAGAGCTCTCTTCCCCAGTTTCCAAGTGTTTGTAATGAACTCGGAGTTTTCTTGGTGTTCCTTCTTCAATAAGTTCTATCTAAAAATAACAGTAAAAATAAAACACAAAATTTAGATGAGGCTTATTAGGTGTATTAAGATGAGGCTGGAGTTAGTCCTTCTTTGTTATGAAGACTGGAGTTTTTACCCCACACAAACAATTAATAATTAATTATTAATCTGTTTTAAGATACTGTTACATTTACAATATTAACTATTGCACAGATTATTAATAGTGTGGAAATAAAAATCATTTGAGATACAGGCCAAGGCTACACTTGAACAACCTGGTAAAAAAGATTTAGAGTTTAACCAGATTTATTTAAGTGATTTTACTTGAACTGTGAAACAGATACTACCAAATAGTGCAAAATAGAAGGAAAACAGTAGATAATGAGAAAATCTACAATCTTGGACAAAAGTGTTAAGAAAAATTGCCACATTGTATGTTAAAATTCAGAATACATCTCTGTATATCACTGTTCACTCAACATACTTCCCCCTTCCTGCCCAACAAACAATGTTGAAGCACAGCCGGAACATTTTTGCTCCTGACTGAACATCTTTGACCAGAGAGGGGTGGGGAGAGGGATCCCTGTGGTGGCAAATTTGCAGAGTGGGTCTCCTGTGAGTAAGAAAGTGGAAACTTCTGAACACTTTTTGTCCAAGACTGTAGTATCACACAGAGTAAGTTTCAGTAGGTAGACTAGGAAATCTACATACCTTTGTTGGAATAGCTGGTCTTTTCATCTTAATCCCTTGAGTCTGCATTTCATTTCCAATTTTCTCAGCCATTTGCTGTGAAAAGAGAGAAAAACAGAAAAATGTAAAAAACTCCTCTTCCACTGGCAGATATGTAACACTCTTTGGGTCATTTTTTGTCACTTTGACCTATAATCACACTGTGTTCTTAATTTTGTGAATGAATCACTCGTGCAACTGAGTACTAATGCCTGGTCCTTACTTGCAATGCAAGCTTAAGCATAAGGACAGGGTTGTCACTAAGATTTCAAGTTGCCTGGTAAATACAACAAGTATTGGCGGGGAATCAAACCGCTAGAGATTTCTTTTGGTTCTATTTTTGTTCTATTTTTCCAATAAAAGTAGCTGGGGGCCACTCTCTTAGTAGCCGCGGAAAATCCCCAGCCCCCGGCTCTTAATGACAACCCTGTAAGGAGCTTATGTGCTAGTGTTGAAGGCCTTGACATAAGCATATACTGTAAATCCTCTATTAAGCCCCCCGGGGGGCTTTTTTATTTCAAACACATTTGAGGGGGGCTTAATAGAGACAGGGGGCTTATTTAAGAGGAGGGGCTTATTAGTCTCGCTTGAGTAAACAGCGAGACTCATAATCTGCAAGCCATTGTCAAGCCATTGTTCTTCGTATTAAGTACAAAAAAAGGCGGTTGTAGTCCCAGGCATTCCTTGCGGAAACTGTGGAAACTGAGAATAAGAATCATTGCTTGACTGTAGCCAAGCACACATGTTTTGCTAAGAAAGCTTTATAGAAAAAAATTAAATTTAGAGCTTTTCCAGAACAGGTTGGTCGGTGAATTCTATCGCTTGAAAGCGTTGATTACCTACTTTGGAACAAGTGAACACTACAGTGGTTGAAAAAAAAGAAGAATCTTAATTAGCAAAACTGCGATGGTCGGGGGTTGTTAACTTTCACTGTATGCAAATGGTCTTGTGATAAGCATGCAGTTTGTTTTCCGCGATGATTGAAATGATGTGTCATGTAAATCACTTTTTTGATCTCTGGCAATGATGTAATTTCTCTGGAATCAAGGCCCTTGAATTTTCGTGTATTTATAAACACGTATAGCCTACGACCGCAGATGTGTTTCCACACATTGCTGACAAGTATACTAAATCAATAATTATTTAATGCGTAAATCCTGTTTCATGAAGAATCAATCGCCTCCTCATTTCTCGATCTAATCTCCAAGCAAGAGAAACTTAACTCTGCTGTAGCAAAGACAATGGTATCAGTTGCACTGCGATGAGTCAATATAAAAACACCACTACATTAATTTTAAGATTCTTGAAACAAACAATATTACCTGATCAAAACCACGTAAAAAGATGGACCGAACAATGACTGTGACATCAAGCCCAATTCCGTGCAGGAAGCCTGCGCATTCTAATGACACATAAGAGCCACCAACCATTACTGTTTTGCCAGGACTGTGTTCAAGTGAGAACAAATCATCACTGTGAAGAAAAGTGAGAAGTTATTACTACATTAATTACTCACTAAAGAATTAGAAGTCTAAATGATTGCATAATTACAGGAGCAGTGGAAGGTAGATGATAACTGGGAGATGGGGAAAATACCTGACTGTCAACATGATTTTTCCAGCTAAAAATGCAGTCTTTAAAGAGGCAGCAGTTTTCTTCTCATATTACCCGCCCATCAAATGCCATTTCCCTTCTGTTATAAATTTAAGCTTCACCCCTGGGAGCTGAAGCACACAACACAACAAAAACATAAAGAGACATGCCAGAGGAGTGCTGTTTCATTTGTTTCATTCTTTCTTTTCCTGCTCTGTGACCCTACACCACTTGAATTTAACTGCATTATATTAGTAGAATAGTACCTTGTTATTCCATACTCCTTAGCTCCTGGTATGGGTGGGTATCGAGGCCTTAACCCTGTAGCAAGTACAATGTGCTGAGCTGTCATCTGACTAACCTTGCCTTTCTTGTCAACAGCCTATTTCAGACAAAGAAGATTTCTTAAAAAATTCACACCACAACACTAATGTGAATGAAAGCACGCAGCTCTCATTACAGTCTACAATTTCAATACCTCCCCTAAAATGGCCTTTGCCTTTAAATTTGGTCATTCAATTTCCTTGTTGGATTAGAAACCAACTCTAGACAGTCACTTGGTGCAAATTTCAATAGGTTTCCATCTTCCAGAGAATCTAGTACACATGTATAGATCTACAATCAGTGACATGTCAAATTGTTATTATTAATTTTTGACCGACAATTAAGTATTTTCAGGGACCACTACATTTCCAGAACATAATGTTTGTATATGTTTAGACAAACTATCGATGGCAGTGGTGGGGATGGAAGTATCCATTCCTGTTTTCTGTTATGATAACATTTAGACAAAGGAAAGGTTGGACAGATCTCAACTAAATTTTAGCAGAGATCATAGTCAGCAGCCAGGTAATTTATAAAGTTTGCATGTGACACGCCTTCTACATGCATAAACCTCTTTCTTTTTCCAACTGGCCCTACACAAAAGTGAGCAATTCAGTGCTGTTAAACACATGAGTTTGAGTTTACTTTATAAGCTAATGAGTTTACTTACAGGTAGACCAAAGTGGAATAACACTCATCACGACTTTGATAATCCCGGATATCACAAAAACCAAATCTAATTATTGCTTTTAATATTTTCAATACAATGGTTTTGAAGAATTAATAATGACAAAGGAGACGAGGAACACAGTTTGAGGAGACATTGCTCTTGGAAATCATGAATATTGTACTTGCAAGCTACAGATAACTAATCACTAGGTTGCGCTGATTTCCAGCTACAGGCTCTTGGCCAATGACAACAGATACTGTAAAATGCTGAAAATAAAACCCCTCCCATGTATAAGCCCCCCATACTCGTAACGCAAAAAACCCTACGTTAAATCACCCCTCCAAATATAAGCCCCTGGGGGCTTGTACTTGGAAACTACCCTCAAATTCAAAATAACACAGCAAAAACTGTACAGTAACACAAATTTTTGCATCTGTCAAAGAGTTATTATTGGGCCAAATGACTGCAGTCAAAAAGTGTCACAGTATATTTCTGTTTGTGTAGTTGACTCTTCACTCTTGGTTTGGATTTCCTCGGTCCATATAGACAAAGTACTTGCATGGATGAGTTTTAGTCCATAAAGCTAGTTTCAGTAAAAACCTTGTGCAAATTACTGACATAAATTTCCTTCCCGCTATATAAAGCTAGCCCATTCGATTTTGAGATGCAAATTTCCCGCCATACATGAGCTGTTCCAAATATAAGCCCCTCAAAAAGGGCCTTTGAAAAATATAAGCCCCGGGGCTTATTTTCTGAATTTTCAGGTATAGTGATTACAATTTGTAGTTAATTACCTGAACTGTATGTGCATCCAATAGTTTTCCTGTGGCATTTTTATACAAGATTTTCTTGTCTCTCAATTCTACTCTGTATCCCCAGTTAAGTGACCCAATGTGATTCTAAACATGCAGACAAAACACAAATTATAGTAAAAATGTCACCTCTTTCATGTTGTGCATCTCTAACAACTTTTATTATTACTCAAACACATTCAAAATATTTTGCCAATTCTAATTGGCTTCACTCCCCCTTTATAAACAGCTGCAGGGTGGAAAGAAAGTCACTTTTACAGCCTGGCATTCGGGCAAACTGTAGTTAGCACGTACTAGCCCAAAAGTCATATCAACTAGCCCAAAAAAGATTTTTGGTGAACAGGATTGACAGGATTGATGAAAGTTCTTAAAGTTCTTTTCTTCCTGGAAAACTTCACTTACCCATCAAGCAAGTTAAGAGCAGAATTCACTGGCCAGATAGCAAAATCTACTAGCCCTGGGCTATCGGACACTACTTTCTATGCATACTGCAGCAGGCACTGACCAAAATTGGATGGTGCAAAGAATGGCATGTGTAGTCCATGTGTCAATAACAATGAATTAACAATAAAGATCACACTGTTTAGGTAAAGAAGGTCTTAAGATGAAAGATATGCTGGATCAATTTAAGTTAACCCTCAGAGCAATTTGACTGTAGCCACAATAATAATATTATTGGAAATAAACTTGCTAATCACTTGATCATGATCCCAAAACTATAAAAGGAGAGCAGTCACTCAATTTCAGTCTTTTTAATTGTTTGAAAAAGAAAAAAAAATGAGTTTGTGCATACCTGTACATTTTCTCTCAATGTTGCCCACTTGTGATCAACTAGAAGAGAAAGATTACTTTTTAAGCAACCATGCATATAATATAATATAATAATTATTAGAAGTACTGATAACTTGTAAAGAACTCTTCCAAAATTTGAGGGTTACATGGAAGTTTCTACAACCCCCGACAAAACTGTTGAGACAATTCCATCTATTTTCTAACTTTTGCGCCCTACTCCCGTCTCCTCTAAACAGAAAAAGTAAACCCCCTCCACACCCCCTATTCAAAGTTGTCTTGGTCTAAAAACCAACCCGTATAATTGCCATGCTATTCTAAACAACTCTGGATAAGGGGAGGGGGGAAATCAGGCATTCATTTGGCGGAGGTTTCAGTTTTTGCCAGGATGATAGGAAAAAATGGGCATTTTCGCGATTTGCCTTAACAGGTTTTGTCCGGGGTTGTAGCTTTTTTCTGTATTGCTTTTATTGTACCATAATTTTGGGAGACATTAGCTCATCATGTAATGCTTCCCTTAAATTTGAGCTAACAATAATTTCACAGTTTATGCAATATTATAAAATAATTATGTTATCGTGGCTACATAAAATATAGGCTAAGTTTAACTCAAGACAATGTTAGCCAGCATCCTTTCTCACAAGGTTATTGGGGGAGCTCTAATTTGCGACTTTCATGTTCCACGTAATGCAATGAATTTGTTTCTCCTTTTCATAAGTATTGTTTTCCATTCCTCTTAGGACCAAAAATTGTCCTTTGAGAAATTGAAAACAAAACTTATGCAAAAAAAAAAAATTGTGCAGAAAACAATTGCACTATGAGGAACATTAAAGACAAAGATAGCGTTGCACGGGTCGATGGGTTTTTACAGCTTCTCTGTTCAGGTCATTAAGGTTGCCACTCATTGTTCAGGCTTTTAGTGCTTTTGCTCCCTACCCCACCATCCCTTTGGTAAACACATTGTAAGCATTATACATGTAGGTTTCACTGCTTAGCAGTGCATGCGATGGATGCCACTCACAGGGTTGTCATGGTTACACACTTTTTGTTTTTCTCTGGCTTCCTTGTTTAAATCAAGCTTATTATGAAGTGGTTTGAAATATCTCTTTCCCCTGTGCAAGTGTGATGAAAAAAAAAAAAAGCTCAAACTGATAATGTCTCAAGTGGTATGAGCAGTGTGCAAAGAAAGTAACGCCCGATAGCCTGGGGCTAGTGGATTTTGCTATCAGGCTAGTGAATTCTGTTCTTAAATTGCATGATGGGCAAGTGAAATGTTTTGAGGAATTCAAATTACAGAAGAAATGTGAAATCAATTCTGCTCATCAAAATGTTTTTGGGGCTAGTTGAAATGATCCTTGGGCTAGTATATGCTAGCTTCAGCTTGCCCGAATGGCAAGCTGTAAAAATCCCTTTCTTTGCACTCTGATGAGGGACATGGATTGCATGGGCAATTAAGCGCGGTTGAGAGGCAATGGCTTAAACAGTCATTCAATGACTGAAAACACACTTTATCATGAAGACCTTGCAACTAACCTCTTGATAAACCAGTATTACAAAAAAAAAAGAAAAAAAAGTTTCATTTCAATCCATTTGTAGGACACTACTTGCTACACATGCATACCTTTTTCATCATAACTCCATCCATACAACCTTGCATCTTCCATTCCATGCTTCAGTAAAGCAGCCTGATGCATTAGTTTCTTTGGAATACAGCCCACATTTACACATGTGCCTCCAAGACCTGATAGGAAACAAAAACCTTTTAGAGCCTAATGTGGGACTGTCTCTCAATACAATAATTGTCTAATCTAGCATTCTTTACTCTGCAGCTGCCATCATGCTGCATCATAAAAAATTAAGTCAGTATGATAAGAAGTAATTTGAGAAAACAGATAACATTTTGCAACACCAGCGCTTGTTTTCCTGTGAAAAGAGATTTGAGAAACTACCACAGAAAACCATGCTGATGATGCATGAGGCATATCTGGGTAGTGCTTCTGATTGGATGAAGCAAGCCAATCAGAAGCATCACCCACCCAGAGTTGGGTAGTGATGCATTGTCAGTATGGAATTTCTTTGGTCATTTCTTTGAAGTCATTAATTTTTGCGGGGAAACAAGTGGTGGCGTTGTGAAATGTTGCCTGTTTTCTCAGACTAGATAAGACATAAACAAAACAGCAAAAAGTGAAAAACGTTAGTCCAAAATGTGGCATGGTGCCTATTTGAGTACAGAATTTATACAATTCAATACTTCTCATTTGCAAATTATACAGTTCTATTCAATCTTTCTTAACTGTAGAACTGTGTTTCATTCAAAAATAATAAGTCAGAACAGAATAACTGCATGTCAACATTAGTTTTAAAGGTTATCATGTATGTCCCCTTTCAATCAGTCACATTAGGATTAAAGAATAAAAATATTAGACAGATTCAGCCCAGGCCAAAATTGAAGTTCTCATGCAAGAATGTGCTCTAAGAAAAATTGAAGGGAGCCCAGTGCTCTAAACCTGTGAAATCCAAGGAGCCCAGCATGTGTTTACTATGAAGAAACTAAAATTAATTTATCAAGATGACCAGGAGCAATAGTTAGGCATCAGGGGCTAGTCAGCACAGCTTTGTTGTGGGATGTTTTAAGAAATGTCTTTCTGACGTAAATTCAACTTTTGGGAAAAGCAAGAAGCAAACTGAATTCCTACTGAAAAAATGGACCTGAGCCTACTATCAATAAATAATTATAACCAACGCATGGTGCTTCCCTACACGAGAGCTTTGCTAACAACACAAACAACACAAGTGCTTCATTGCTAGAAGACTGACCCCAAGTTGATCCTACAGGAGATGGTTTAACAAAATCCAAAACTGCCACTTTTCTGCCAAGGTCAGCTGCTTCCTGTAAAATGAAAATGATATATATGTTACTGGTCAAATTTGATTTATATTTACAGGTTAGAATTTTTTAACCTAAGGTTAATTCCCAATTTCGTTTGTCTCCTGTCCCTAGAAGAACAAAGGAAATTGAAAATCAACCTATAGCTACGATCCTGGACAAAAGTCCTTGGGACAGTAATGCAGTATTTGTGATTTTCTGTAATTTAAGGGTGCCCTAATAAAATAGTGCAACTTTTTTGAAAATATCTTGCAGTTCCCCATTTCCCCATCCTATACAAAGTTGAACCTTACAAAAAAAATTCTGGATATGTGCTCCCAACCTTGTTTATGGGGTGTGAGAAGGGGATGGGTGTGTGTCCCAAGACTTTTGTCCATGGTTTTAGGTTAAAATATTTTAACCTGAAATCAAATACAACCTGTGACATATATGTGTACTTATTCTGTGGAAATTATTATAAAAAAGCACTTCATTTGAAAGTCAATGTATTTGACACAAAAGTACTAATTATTGGGGACACTATTTTTACGTTTCTATCTGGAGATGGGAATGTCAGTTTTTGTGGTCACGTGAGCTACATGAGGGTCTAGCCGTGTGCAGGGGAAAGGCAAAACCTCCATTTCCCTGTTATTTTAAGACCCTGAGTATTGGCACATCCCTAGGAATTGAGCCTCCCACTCTGCCGTCAAATGCTCTACCGACTGAGCTAATCCTGCCATGGTTAATCCCTTCATGCCCATGGGAAATGCCATTTCTTGTAGCTGTTGTCAAAACCAGGATTGGACCAGAACTGCAAGATTGATGTATACTTGGCCAGCAACCTTACCAAACCTTTTGTTACTTTTACTTATAATCCCCTCCCCCCCCCGGCCCCCCTTTCCGCCCCAAAAGTTTCCATCTCATTGAGAGTTAACTAAAAGCAGAAAAGAAAATCAGGGACCAACAGTGGGTGCATATACATTCTACCAACGTGTCTATCAAGAAAGAGTTGACTGTATGTAGTAATACCTTTGAGCAAGCGAGTCCACCAGACCCACCACCAATAACAATCAGATCATAAGTATAGTTCTCTGACGGCGGTGTGATCAGGTTCATTAACTTTCCTTCCTCGTGAAGTTTCATTGTATCATCTGCACCCCCAATGTGATTCCCTCGAATGAAGACATTAGGAACTGTTCTTTGCCCTGTCATCTCTTTCAGTTTTTCATGTATTGTTGTTCCATTATCTGTATTTGAAGACAACCAAGCAGTTTTGTTATAAGATCACTGATAAACCATGACTAACAAATGGGTTCTCTTTTTTAATACAGAAGCAGTGGAGAATGCATAAGTGTGATGACCATTCTGAATGGTACTTTCCTATTTTTACTATTGAGCATGAGATACAAGATGCAGCTCTATCATCTAAGCCTACAGTTGAAATCTTTAAGTGAGTCCATTCATATGAAACAGAAGCTTCACACTACTAAATGTTATAGTAAATTATTACATGTGTACATCGTTTGCCTCTCCTATTCAACTTGCAATGTAGTTATGGATCACCACCAAAAGTCAGTTCTTGACAAGCACCTTTCAGCTGTTTCACACGTCAAGTGAATGGATGAATCCTCTTCGAAGTGAGCAAACAACAGACATTACTAAGACTTCATTCAAGTGCAAAACTCCAGCTCACAAAGAGAAAGTGAAAGTCTGCCATGAGTGGATAAGGCATGTGCTGCTGCAAATCCTACAATGCGTGAATTTCTTCTCTCGCATGTAGTCAATGGTGGCACGATCCCTAAGGGCACACAGCTTCAGGACCCTTTTTAGACGTTTATGCTTGATTTGCAAGCTCAATAAATTGAAACATTACGAATTTTTGCTTAAAAATATTGCACAATATTGCGAAATCCACGTAATTCGGGATTTTTGGCGTATAATTAGCCAAAAAACAGCGGATAATTTGCTGAAAAAAAATGCATAATTCCGGAAGCCCTGCTTTTACGAAAGATTCAGACAAAGTAGCCTACGCCAGCAGAGTAGCTGATCAAAAGCATGAAGCACCTTTTTCTCCCTTACTTTCACAAGTAGTAAATTTAGCGATTTTTGCAATTTGGGAAAAATACTCGCAAAGATAAAAATCGCGAAGTTTAATACCAAACATATATCATTGTTCACGTGCACCACTTAGTCAACCTTAAAGTCAACACTTTAAAGCTGTGGTGAGATAATGCATAAAGCCCCTTCAATAACATGTCCCTTCAGTATGGAATAAATTATCTCTGACCAAGCATTGTCCAAATCTGGTAATGCAATATTTCAGATGGTGAGGGCAAGGCCAGTAAGCCAAGTAAGTGGGGTAAAAAATCAGGTACTTGCCACAGCAGAAGCAGAAACAACTCGGGGCTGATGAATATGACCAAACTGCTGTAGCTTTACATACATGTGTTAATGAATAGGAAAATCAAAATTAAATACACTCCAATTCTACCTGTCCCTAAAAATCGCGAAATTAAATACTTACAAAATATCGCTCATTATTTCTCTCGAAATTTGATGCAATTTGGTGATTTTAAGCTGCTGCTGGCTAGCTACTTTGACAATCCCCTAAATTAAACTGTTAGAACTAAAGTTTATCAGTTTTTTAAATTACCCAGTAAATCCATTTCCATGGCTGTAAATGTGACATTCATTGACTTGAAAAGCTCCTTTACCTGTGAAGAAGTATTAGAAAAAAATAGTCCTGTCAGGTGACAATCCTACCAACATACTTTCATGCATGCACTTTTAAGTTAAAAAGAGAGATATAGAGGAGATCACAAGGCCACGTGGAGATAGAAACTTTCTCTTTGAGTATTTGAAAACAAGAAGAGAAATTTCCTATCTCCGAGCGGCCATGTAATGTTCTATTTATTACACAAACACCTATGAAATACCACACCATTTCGCTTTAATATATAAATATTTTTTAGCCATGAAAAGCCAGTTTGTCATGTGGCCATAGCAACAGTGATCTTTTCATGCATTAAGATATGATTCATGTTTTTGCGTGAAAGCTCACCTACACTAACCACAAGAAATATTGCATAATTTGACCCATTAAATAACTTTTTTGCCACTTGCTGTGACCTTCTGGAAATTAAACATAACTCCCTTCTATCTTCGGCACTGCGTTAAAAAACCTGAATTATTAAGAGTTATCTCTGCTCGTCTTTTTCAGACAATAGACAGCTATCCATGAAAAGGGAGACAGATTATAATATGAGCTTTTAATTTCACTTACATGTGGGTAATTGGCAAGTTCTCACAATATATTCCAAAGCTGTATTATAAATTTATATAGCCACACCTCCAAGTTTAATGTAAATAGATGTATTGATGGAAACATAAAAGGGTTGGTTATTTAAACAAAGTCTAACTTAAGCCATGCATGGTTTAAGAAATCATTGGACCTCCAGATTTTCGTTAGTAGGTTATTTCAAGAAAATAAGTGCTTTTCCAGTCTATGCTATTTGCTTTAATGAAAATGGTTCATGATAAACCATGTTTGGATAATAGCGCTGGGAAAACTGAAAATAGCTTAGAACGAGGTTTTGTTAAATACGGGCTCAACTCTGTTTAAATAACCAGCTTAAAGTGTTGTTAGATAATAATTATTATTCCACCACATCATTTGAATACTTTTTCATTCCAAAGTCATCAACTATCTTGTCATCACTTTCTCTACTCATAAATCATTAAAATTAACTTTTCAAGTACAGATGACAGTTTGCCAAACTGTCAAGTGTACAACAAATGGTAAGAAGAATCTTAAAATATTGACAAAATTATTAGAATGTACAACAATTTTCCTCTGTTATGATTTATGTCACCCTGTTATTTGCAGTCTTTTTTTAACCTTTATGTCTTTTGGATAAAACATCCTTATCACCTGCTGTAATGATAAGCTTAAAATATGTTTAAGAGTTTAAAATGCGGTAATATTTTAAATACTGAGGAACTTCCATTTAGAATATAATTTATGTTCAGAAGGAGAGGTCTAAAAATCTCAGTGAATAGAACGTATGCCTCATTAAAAAGGCGTAATATAAAAAGACACTTACATTTTGTAATTATTATTGCTTACAATATCCAGGTCATAGGAAAACTATCACCTTCGATGCTTTTTGCAGTGTCTAACTTTTTACAAACTTACAGAGGGAAACACAGATGAGCTTATTTCGCATAATTGTGTCCACAAAGAACTACTATTATAGAACGTACATTAAGTCAACTCCTTAGCCTTTTGTGTATATCATTTACAGTTGGAACACTAGTAATTAAGGCCGGGATAAGCCCGCAGTATAGATATTACAACCTGCTCGTATAAAGAATAAAGATAAAATTAAAGGAGCCTACTATCGCTAACGCAAGTCAAAAAGCTGTTATAAATATACAGAATTATTAAAGTTTCTTATGTCCATCTGAAATCTGTTCAAAATGCTCGTATATGAAGGTTTCAAGTAACTCCTGACAGTGTTAATAAGGGTCTTTGAAATCAGGATGGTTTGCGAGCGGCAAATGCCGGTCCGCATTATGAATATCTTAGTTTAGACTTAAGCTAGATTCCATAGTCTTCAACACAATGCTTTCTTTATCCTTATTTTTGCTGAAGATGGAGTGATTAAAGGCAGACAATAAGTAACCCACCTTCTTGCAGAATGGACACGTAGATTTCGAAAATATCATGACCGGGTTATCTTTTATGCTCTGTTCAATGAGGTCCTTGATGGGCGCCATTTTGTTTGGTAGTTCGGGCGATGGCGTCCGCGCCCGTTTGAAGTTTGACACTGCAACACCAATGATGAAAATAATTGAAGAGCAACAAGATCGTGTGAAAAATCAACCTTTATACTAGCTAACAAACAAGGAACTATCCAATCACGGAAGTGACATTGCGTAATTGAATTCGTGAAGGAACAGCCGGCTTTCAGTAAATATTGCTCTGCAACTGAAAAAAAACGCTGATCACGTGCTATGAACACTGGACTTGTTTAAAGTTTCGCTCGCATAGTGTATTAAAACCAAATTAATACAAAATCTTACCCTTATGTACAGAAATTATGAAGTTAGATGTAATACAACTCAAGCAATCACTGCGGACAATTACATTTTTTTAGAAAACTCTTTCTAGAACATGTGACTGTGACTCAGACAGAGGCACAGAGCATGACATGACGTCACGTAAGAATTTGGCGCGCGAGCGGGGAGATATAGTAGAGCAGATATGTGCTTCAATTGTTCACTTTCTGTTAAAAGCATGAAATTTGGCATGATGATATTTTTCAAGGCCCTAAAAAAGATAGGATATGGTGCCATCGCCAAAAAGTCCGTTAAGTGGGAAAAATAAGAGTTTTAAAATGGCAGCCATTTTGAACCGGAAGTGAAATTAACATTTTCTTTAAAACGTCTGAATTTTCACAACTTGGATAAGAAAATGTCAGTAAATGCTAAGGCAGCTATTTTTTCATACAATGAGACATTACTTCAACACAAATTGTCTAAAAAAGTAGAATAGAGATGATATAAGTGGCCGCCAGCTAGACCGGAAGTAAAACTACCAGAGTCGGAACTTTTAAGGAATGAGCTTAAACTTCTGTTGTGCTTGCTAATTTTCTTATATTTTGTTTAAATCTAATGTATACACTCAATTTACTATTTTCATCATATATTATCCGGTACTAAACTTGAGCCTACTTTGGCTATGATACAGAATATCGAAGAAGAACAGATGATATTTCGGTGACCTAATGACTTGATACTTCATGCAGACGAGTGCTTGTAATCGAAAAAAAGAGTTGGGGATTGCCTTTCACGATTGTCACTCTTCTGGGCACAGCCCTTCTTACGAGCGTACTTGATTAGTTCCACCCTCAACTTTGTAATTTCTGACAGTGGTGTGCAGGAGAGTCGCCACTCTCCTCTTAGAGATATCCAGCCCCAATCTTGCAGACTAGGAACCGATATGCTTGGTACCAGTGCCTGCTGACTCCATATGTGGCCAGCATGGTTCGCCGTGCCCTTGAAATGGTTAAGTAATGTGGGCCGGGTCAAAGAAACTGCTTTTGGCTTCGTCAGTTGACGGTAAAGAACCACTTTTTCTATCGCATTGAAGAACGTGTAAGCGAAAACAACTCCTATTATTTCTGGAGGTGACCGGAAGTATTCACCTCGTCACATCCTGTGAATGCATGGAACGGAGGAAGTGCAAGTACAGCCTTTTTAGTAAATACGTTAGCAATCTCGTAGGTTGCAAGGTAGCGTCGATGTACATTAGTACCAAGATATATGTTAGGGAAGCTAACTTGGCTTCATGGTACAGAAGCTTCATGGGTAGTTAGAATGGAGAGTGGACTCAACGAAAACGTCTTGGACACAAACAACTTAGAGACTTAAAAGAAGGGAATCTGCTTTGTGATATAGCATAACAATAAATGCTTTCTAGCGAATTGACTTCAAACGATGCAGGGAAAAGACTGGACATCTGGCCCTAGACGACATGCGTTGCTCAATGTGCAAGGAATCTAAAAAGCACCTGCTTGTTTCGATCTTTACAAAAGAACTAGCTTTCTCCAGTTTCTTAGTATAGTTCCTGATATACCTGTACCCCAGATCTTAGTCTTCAAGCTGTTCTCGGCGCGACATATTTGTCACATACTATATCCAAGAGAATAGGTTTTACATACTCAGGGGATTAACGTAAGTGATGCACATTCGGAAAACGCTTTTTCCTTATTTTCTTGCATGTGGACTTTAACATGATAATCAGTGCTGCTCAGTCCATGATCATGAAATGACATTCTGGGGGTGGTTACATTGAAGATTAGAACTCTCACGTCTGTCGAGAGAGGCGCAAATTCACTTGATAGTGAAATACAGCTGAATTAAACCGCCGCCCAGTTAGCTCCAGGTGGATAAAAACACCGCTCTACTGAGCGGCAAGCCGCGGTTTCAAACTCCGGCCAAACCAATTGTCGATCAGGATCTTTAAATAACTGACGAGAAGTGCTGCCCGATGTCATCTACAAACGGTTAGGCTTTCTAGTCTTCTTGGAATAAAGAAGAAACCTGTAGGCCCCGTCTCACGGTCCTTGTTCATATAAAATGCTGTGGGAAGTTACAGAACCTAAACACCGTTTGTAAAGAGTAGGCTGAGTAGGGGACCCATTTACCTTCCAAACGGATTTCTCGAAAGCTTCTTCAAAATGGTAAACTTTGAAATGAGCAGACGTTATTGTGAAAGCAATTTCAATCCAATATGTACATGCACAGAGTGTTATTTATATTCCTCAATAACTCAAAATGGTGGAGCTATTATTACCTCAAATTACTTTGAAAGCCGCAAAGCTTTCTGCATTCTAGTTAATAGTGGATCAACTCTTTTAACCCTTACAAATTCTTCAAACTGGTCTCTATACAGGTCCTTAAAAGGATAAGTTGAGAGAATTTGATAAAAGATCACAGCATTTTCTCTTGGGTGATAATTTTATTAATTAAAAAAACCTAATCTCTTGACCTTGTATGGATATTGGGAGTCAGAAGAAAATTGATGTTGGTCACTATTGGGACTTAAAGGGTTAAAACAAGTCAAAAGAAATAATATGTCTTTTGTTAGTTTAATTTGTTCGTATGTTTGGCCTTTCCTATGCTTAAAAATGTGAATCATTGTTTCACATTTTTCTTTAAATTCACTACCGAAATGAATTGCTTTGAGTGAGTTTCATTTTCCATTTTATCCCGCTTTTACCTCCGGTTCTTTCATTTAAACCGCCAATTTGTAACAAGGCTGACTTTTTTATGTAACATAAATATCCGGAAAAACATAGAACAAACAATTTTGTCGTCGTTTTGACCTTAACATGCTAAATTTCGTGTACTTTCGGTTAGGTGATGTTTACTTCCGGTCAAAATGGCGGCCATTTTAGTAATACTCCAAAAACCGGTTTAACAGGAGAAATTTGCGATGGCACCATATCACATATTAATAGCGACGATTAGTTTATATAATAAACAATTTCATCGTCATTTTGGCTTAAAAAAGTGCTTAATTCTGTGTACTTTCGGTTAGATGATATTTACTTCCGGTCAAAATGGCGGCCAGTTTAATTTTCTCTCCAAAAACTAGTTTAACAGGAAAAATTTGCGATGGCACCATATCACATATTAATAGTCATAATTAGTTCTGTCATTCCTGAAAATTTGGTACTTTTAACAAAAAGTGAACAATCCAGCCCCAAATCTGCACATATCTGCCCCACTAATAAATATAACTTACAAATATACTCTGTTTCGATCTCTCTTTGGTTTCTATGATCTTTTACCACCAAATTAAGTTGAAAAAAAGAAAGAAAAAAGAAAGAAAGAAAGAAGAAAACAAAAGGAGTAGAACTATGCATTTCAATTCTATCGGTACGTGATATTTTGAAAATTTGAGCGTCACACTTGCGTAATAAAGTCGCTGACTAACGATTTAGTAGCCTCACGGCAAGTTTCGTCCCTCAACACTCCGGAAATATCGTGACAAAAATGTTACTTTCAAGCTTTGAGGACTTTCATTTCCTCCTGATTACAATGTTGGATGTTTCTGGTACGTGATTTCGGCAAGCGAACAATATAGATCAGACGCCGTAGAAAGCCCACTAAGGAAGACACAAACATCGAAAAACACAACGGCGATCTTACTGTACTCGGCCCACAACTCGATTTTTGGGTTTTCGATGAAATACAAGGGATGGAAATATCGCCAAAGAGTCCAATACATTATAAACATCAACATCTCGAACCGAAAGAAATGTTTATCCTCAGATCGTTCATATGCGTTTGAATAGAATGTCAATATCGGTTGATTACATTATAAAATACCTTCCATCTCAACTAACCGCCAACGTTTCTTTAGTTGGAAGTATGTTTTTTGTTCCTGCCTTACGTAGGGAGATATACAGGAAAACTACTTGAGTTCCGGCTCGCTTCGATCGGCGGCTTGCTTTCCGACGATATGTAAGTTCAAAAGGACAAACACATACCTGTAGCCAATTTAATGCTCTGATCAATCGTTTAGTCACGCTGGATTAGCATTCCAAAAGCATCACCGGGATAACGCCACATCACTTATAGAGAAAAAACAAAAGCAAAGAAAACGGAAATGAAGCAATTTATGACTCTCACGATTTTGTAGTTGCCCAATTTACTTGTGCTATGAAGGTAACCAGCACTAACGCTAGTACACTGGGAACTTCGTTAGATGGTTAACTGGCACGTGCAGAACATGTGCAGCACATGCAAAGAAAATCTGGATTTGGATTTGCAATCCGGATTTCGGATTTTACAATAAGCGCATAATCCGAAAAAAACATTTGCAAAACTGTTCTCGTGTTTTCCTGCTAATCCCTGAGAACAGTTCAGTCATATTCCCCACCCCTCCCCCGCCCCCAAAAAAGAATAAATAAAACGAACAAAAACAAAAGAAAACAAAAAACGGAAAGAAAAGTAAATCGCGTTTCGATTACAAATAGGAAAGCCAGCTTTCAAAATTTAAATCCAGATCCTAATCGAAAGCATCCGATCTATAAATTTATTGAACTACGACCGAGGTAACTTTAGTAATCTCCACATAATTTGACTCCAATGTACCGAACAGCTTCGGAAATATTCTCTTTCAAAAGACTGAGCTAAAAATTTTACAAAAAATGCATGTCTCATGAATTAACCGAGGGTGCCACCCAGCAATTTCGTGGATTTTTGATGGCTGTTATTTCCCTTAGTGTGCTGGGCACTCCTTTAGTTGGCATAAACCGCGGGTATGAGCCGCTGATCAGGGTATGTTTTTCAGAGGCTTGAGTCTTAAACAGTATCAATTTTACTATTTAGCGTTTTGAATAGGGTGTCTTTTCGGACAGGGAACCTTTAAAAGTGTGTAAATTGGCGATGAGTACTCTAATTCTCAGGGTGGTAACAACAATATTTTTTCTAAAAAATATCTAATTCCATAATGTTAGCTAAAAAATACTCAATTCTTTATGCGAAGACATAACTCAGTATGTCAGGGTCTTGTCCTAACCCAGGAGCCCTGCCTAACCCTATCTAGACCGGGCTCTTTTTTGCTCCCTGCGACCGTGAAGGAGCTTGGGGCTCCCC